GGCGATGGGGCGAGGGGAGAGTCCACGAAGCCTTTAGCCTTGGATGTGAAAAAGATCTGACAATTCCGACACCTCTTGGCTTCTTGCGCTCATCGAAAATGATATAACCCGCTAAGCTGCGCGAGGCCGGCACTCGGCCGGAGGAAGTGGGCGAGCTGGGTGCTGCGGATGCACAAGTCATTTGTTCACGGTTGGGGCATCGAATTTGTTCTTTGGAAGCGCCATACATTGCGGGCGATTTTTGCCTGTCATAGTAAGAGGTTGGCTTGCAGCAGTTTCAGCGAATACTTGAAATTGTCAGACACGTAGGCCGCCTGCCATCTCGAAGGCAGTCCGGACCTTCACTTCACTCCGTTCCTTCATCTGCTCCGGGCGTATCTTGGAGCTAGTTGGTGCTGTTGAGGCTTGAGCGAAGTTTTTGAGGCACCTTCGCAGAATGAATTCTGTGCTAGTGGATCATGACGTGGTATGACAGTGGCATGACCTTCAAATAATGCGCCGATCAAAGCTGTGGTCCGCTTTGTTCCATCTCATTCTGTCACAGGCATGTGCGCGTCTTTGAGCAGCGGCAAATCCAGAGGGAAGAGCTTGCAATGAGGCCTTGTATATGCACATATACCATGGACTTGTGTGTGAGTGAGTGTGAGCGAGTGAGTGAGACAGAGTGAGAGAGCAAGAGAGGAGAGACAGTGTGTGTGTGTGAGAGAGTGAGAGAGTGTGCGAGGGAGACGGAGTTGTTTTCCCGTTGCGACGAGAAGCCTACCTCGTGCAGACTTTGAGGGTGGGTGGGGGGGAGGTAGAAGAGGAGAGTGCTAGCGGGAAGAAACGAATGAAGGAACGGCGGCAGAGTGAGTCCAGCCGTCTTGCTGTGTGCGTAGTGGTGTGCTTAGCATGCTACGTCGGAAGTCGGAAGGGCGCGCCTTACGGTCCTTGTTCAGGAACGTGAGTTTCTCTGCAGAAGAGATTGCGGACCTTCGGTGCATCTTCAACCGACAGGTGTGACCTTTCCAGTCTTGTTCAGTGAGCCCAAGCCCAGACTTGCAAAAGCTTGGATCCAGGTCAGAGTTCTAGCCGGGGAGAGGAAGGACGTTGAGGCAGGTCTGGTGCTTTGCGGTTTGTGCGGGGAGCAGTCTTGTCGCCAAGGTCCAGGCAGTCTGCCACCCTCTCAGCGGGGCCGTATTGAGCCTGTGCAACATCTCGCGGCTCCCCTGCTCGGAGGCAGTTGCAGGGGTTCAAACTCGGCCAGCTATTGCTCACACGTGGGCACGGTCAGCAAACAAGTCAAGTCCAATCACCGCACACCACGCCACGCTAGTTGGAAGGTGGTGCACCTCGCTGGCTGTATCGGGGTCCGGATGAAGACATCGCAGAAGGACATGCCTCGCAGCTCAGTCGTTTGCGTTTGCATGTAGCTTGACGAACCTGCTTTTCAAGGGCTGGCCTCGTCTGAGACAGAGTGCTGAGGCTCCAGCGCAAGATCCGAGAGCTTTGTGGTCCTGTCGAAGGCTGCAGACACCTGGTGAAGCAAGACTTGCGCTGACCCAAGCTCCCAGCTCACAGGTCAGCGCAGCAGGCACCCATGTGCGTTGCATGCCGAGGCACGTTGCATTGTCAGCTTTATAAGAGTATATGCGTGACAGTTAAGGGGAGAAGGTTGAGAAAAGAGGTGCTACATCAATGTGTCGTGTGACGCGTCTTGCAATGCATTTTTTGTTTCGAGATCTGAATGATCTGAAACATCTTAGCAACGTACCACTACCATGCTTGTCTCCCGACCCACTGATGAGGCTATCAGTGGGCTTTTTGCTTTCTGAGTCCCCAAGAGTCGTCAGGAAGGATGCGTGCATACCGACGTGAGAGGAACATGGCAACTCAGCGGGCGATCTCCAATCTTGCTTTTCAGTTACTGAGCAGCGAAAACGATGAAAAAGCTGACAACGAGCAGAAGCCGAGGACCAACCCATCTAAACCCAAGCAGTGGCTGAAGTCTGGCTGAGCTGGTTGGATTGGCTCCCCTAAGGAGTCAACCGAGACAAAATTTTTCATACACCGGCATGCGACCCTGAGGAGGTCTACGACTGCTAGAAGCTCTCCTTGCAGCATATGGCAGTGTATGGTGGTAGCAAATTGCAGGACCATACTGACCATAATTGTGCCACATGCCATGAGAGTGAAAATCTTGGGATTGCTGCTACCCATGATGTCCTGGATTGCTAGGTTCGAGTTTGATGGGTTTCAAAGCCCGAGGTTTGCATAGGAAGCAACATGGCCATCTGTCTTGGCACGTCATCCCTTGAAGGTTGGAGCAGAGTCATGCCACGCTGAAGCGGACGGCGATCAAGGCGTTTGGCCTGGCGGTTGCGAGCCACTTTTGCGTTCGAGTTTCGTCGTCTCTCTTCGCACCCGAACATGTTTGGGAAGTTTGATGCGGAAAGGAGGTTGCCTTCAGTTTGTCTTCCCTCGCTTTCTTGAAAGGCTTGGACTTGGATTTCGCAGGGTTCCTGCACATCGTCAAGTGGATGACAGACTGCTACTTGGTCGCAGAGAGGGGAGAAGTCTTCTCTGAGAGCAGGTCAGGTTGATTCTTGATTGCAGGATTTAGGGTTTAGGTTTCAGGGTTTAGGGGGGTCTTTCCGCCAAAATCTGCAAAATTCGCCTCCTCAGGCAACTTCTGCAACATCAACGACGTTGCTGAGCGATGCGTTCAAGCCTGGCGCCGACCCTCCATTTAGAATGCATCCCATGGGGCGCCTTACCCCCCCAAACCCTAAACCCTAAACCCTAAACCCTAAACCCGAAACCCTAAACCCTAAACCCTAAACCCTAAACCCTAAGCCTTAAAACGTAAACCCTAAACCCTTTGTAGGCGCCCTTTTGTCAAGTTTGACACGAGGGGAAGTCCGAGTCACAATCTGCGTGCCGATGTTATTGTGCAACTTTGGTCTGAAGTCTGAACTTGCGAACTTCGTGCCTCGATTTGTACTGTTTGCAGTGACAGCATTTGCGCAAGCTTTGCCGTGGAGTTTTCAATATGGTGGAAGAATACCTTCCATTGAGGACCCCGGCCACCTCGCCGGCGCTTTAGCCGCGGAAGTTTTTTTGCAGAAGGGCAGCGCTGTTGTTCCAGCCGTCGCTCGAAATACTGGACCTCTCTCCAACAGACATGCTCCATCTGTTTTCCCGTGTGTGCTCGACGGGTGCTTAGCCAACAGCAGGTGCGATGGACTCCCTCTGAAGTTTTAAAGTCTCTGAACGCAATGGCGTGGTCAGACCTGAACAGCGGTGACACCCATTTGTGTTCCCCGGATCCTCGATTCGATCGTTCTGCGGCGAGGTAGTGTGTGGGTTTCAGCAGGCTGCCTTTACCCAGGCGACTGAGGGTGCACTGCGCAGGGCCCAGAAACGGGGCACCTGTGACGGTGCGAGAGTGAGAATATGTCGTGCGAATTGCTCGTTGCTTGACTTGTTGACCTCATCTGTTCGACCAGCAGAACTAGCAATCCAGAAGGCTATGTTTCCCTCGGAATAGATATTGGAGGAATAGATGTCTCCGAGAGTGCGAAGAGGCGCGCAATGCCGAATTAAGATGGACCTGACGGCCCAGCACTGGGCACAAAGAGGCTGGAAGCCATGGGGTCCAAATCAAGAATTAGGCGCGCAGCGCTGTGCTTGAGCTTTTGAGCTTTGGACGACGGATTGCCTGAGTCTGCAGTGAATTAGATGGACCAAGTGGAAGAGCAAAAGCATGGACTCTGCTCGATTTAGACTTTTTGGCCAACTTTTGAAAAGGGCCCGCCAAGACTTTCAACATGCGAGTGGAGCCAGGGAATGGGAAGCCTCTGCACCTCCAGGGGAAGAAATGGTCCGAGCTGCTTGTGCCTGTCTCACAGGCTTTTCTGCCTCAGAGTGAGTTGCATGGAGCTGGGATGGATCCCAACATGACCCAATAAAACCTGACAGGGGCCACGGCGTGCCACGAACCTGAATACATAACGGACGCAGCGCGCGGCACGAGCTCCGAGCTGATGTGTCTGATCTATGTCGCCCTGCCTCTCTCTCTCTCTCGCGGTTTCTTGTCTCTCATCATCTGTCACGAAAGCTAGCTCTTTAGGAGCTTGCGGGAGTTCTTGTTTACCAGTTTGTTCTTGGGTCAAACAGCACTCAGGGGCCTTAATCCGATATATCGGAGGTTTAAGCTGCCATGGGGGGGGGCCCCCCCCCCTCTGGGGGTGACCACACCACACAAGAAATCCTTGGAGGGTGGCGGACCCAAGGGGGGGGGGGGCCCACGTTCCCGATAAGGTGGGGGGGGGGTCCCCCCCCCCCCCCCTTAGGTCAGCATTGTTACTTATCATGTCAGGGCTTTGTCTACATGACTGAGCAGCGCGCCCTAGCTTTCGTTCGCCCTGCTCTCAAGTATAGTTTTGATGTATGTTATACTCTTCTGGTGATCATTCTCTTGTCCTGTCTCGTGTCTGTTTTGGGACGTGTCTGTAAAATCTGTCTCTATTCAAACTTTCTGGGTCTCATGACTTCCTGAGAGGCATGAGTCAGCGTTTGCTTGACATTGCGAGCGCTCATCCTCCTAATTGTCTGCACTTATGATACGCATACAAAACACGAAGCTCCAAAAGTGACGACAGCCAGGAGGATGGCGAACCCCAGGTGCTTCATCCTCGTCTCTGTCCGCACTTGATTCTCCAAAACACAAGACTCTAAACGTGACGGCAGTTGCGAGGATGGCCCACCCCAGATGCCTCATCCTCGTAACCGTCAGCGCTTTTGAAGCGTCAACACCACGCGAAGCTCCAACTGACGGCAGTTGCGAGGACGGCGCACCCCAAGTGCCTCGGGAATATCGACACTCGCGAACGCTTCGCGAACGCTGTGCAGCCCGAAGCGCACGATGTTGGATCAGCCCTGGACCCCTGGAATGGCCTTTTGCAGCACATTGGCCAAACCTCCTTCCGCTTCCGAATTTGATCCCTACCTTTTTGCAGGCCGGCCACCCATGTCGAAACGCAGAGGCCAGTCTTTGCAACTGCTCTTGCGACACAGCTCCTCTTGGTTCCTCGTGCTTTAAGGCAGCTCATCCTAGCAGTAGGGGGTGATGAGGCTTTCTGTGGCCACAGGGGTGAGAACATGCTGGGATTCGATCACAAGTCGTTCATGGAAGTGAGCAGGCAGTCACCCTCGAGCTTGGAGGCCGCAACCTGGGAAACGAGAAAGTTTACCATATTTTTCTCGCACCAGAGTCCATTGCATGATCTCACGAAGTCTACGAGACCCAGTGGCGCTTTGTGTCTGGTGGAAGGCCATCCCAGCCACTTGGCAGAACCGGCGGCGGTCCATCTGACCGGATCTTGCCGACATCAATCGGCTGAGCAGATTGTCGATACTCTTGTCACGTCTCACGTGTGGAGCTGGTTTTCACTTAGATGTGGGCTCCTGTATGCCTTTGGCATGTAGCACAGGCAAGCTTTGGCGTGAACAGTGCCATCGTAGAAGATGCAAGCTTAGTTGGAACAGCTCGAAGCTTGCCCACCGTGACTGGGAGGTGGGAGTCCCATCTTCTGCCTCGTACTGCATGTCTGCACGAACTGACTGTTTTTTCCAAGAAAATTACAGGCACTGTAAGTCAGTTGGGCTGTCGGACAGCGCAGCAACACTCTTGCTGCATGTACTGTAGCCATTGTAGCCGTGCTTTGCTCCGGCCTCATTCACGCCGCGGCGCGTCCTCACCTGTGGTGCAGGCTGGTCTCAAGATGCACGGAGCACTCCAAGCCAGAAGCTTCTCAATCCCCCTCAGACTCTCCAACCGAAAGTTCTGTCGCGATGTGCATGCTCCTCGCCGGCCTTCAGCGGCCAAGAATCCTTCCGCTGCGCAGCAATACCTCCGATTTGCAGTGTTTTTTGAGGAAAGCTGGCCCACTGCTCGGTGCAAAGAAAGTGCCGGACACAGTGGTGCATTTAGTGATGGTTTTGCAGTGCTGGTCCTTGAATCTCGGCACGCGAGGAACGGGTGGTAATGCTATGGTACTGCAATGCGTCACCGCACCTTGTGCGGATTCAAATTCCAGCTGCAAGCCGAGAAGCCTGCACGACAAAGGTTGGGTGACAGTCATCACGTCATCGCTATGCCGAAAACATACCAAACCCTTTGGCTCGTCGGTGCGGCTCTCGCCTACCTGTGCCAAATGCCCAGGCCAACAGCTGTGCAAAAGCACAGTTGGCCGAAAGACCGAGGTTGAGAAAGAAAGCAGATGCCTCGCACGTGTCTTGCCAGCTTACGCTTTCGGGAATGGTGCGTGCTTTGGTGACGGTCGAGTTTTGTGTCCCGACGTGGCGTGTGAGGATTTAGGTCGAGCCTGGTAGAAGAAGTGAAACTTGCCCAGCAGAGCTCCGCGTTGGCAATCCCCGTAAGATGAACCGCAGATCTTGTCAGTATTGCCGAGCCTCCGCAAACATGAACTCGGACGAGAGCTAAATCATGGATTCGCAGCTCGCGCCGCCATATGCTTGCGGCCACGTCGTTACTCTTGGAGCTGCGAGGTCGCGAAGTGAGAGGACAGAGAATGTGACAAGAGAACGCAAGAGAGCAAACTCCACAGCGTGGACTCGGACACTCTTAGGTGCCGCTGCTCCTGCGCCTCTGAGGCCTGAAGGCTCGGCTCTGTTTTTTTCTGTGCAGCCTCTGTGCATGAGGTCTCAGCGCCAGCCGACAGTCTGAGTGTCAGGTGCCCTTGGCGCAGCAAAACTTGCAGCACTCCTGGGTGACGAGGCGGATCAGAGCTGCCAAGATTCACAGTCGAACACACCCTGATCGATCCCGGTTGCTGCGTGGAGGAAACCTTCAGATCACCGCAGCTTTCAGAGTAGACTTGTAGAGCTGCAGGCACAGTCATGTACGGAGGATACGAAGCCTTGGGAGACCACAGAACCTCTTCCCAGCACTCCAGTTCGAAAAGGGGAGGTCCATTTGGGCTGTATTTGGGCAAAGCAGCTGACTGGAATGTTCCGGAGAGATAGCGCGCTTGAAGCTTGGACGGTGCCACCCGTGATCTCCAGGACACGACAGGTTTTGAGTGCTCTAGTACAGATGTTTCTGACTTACTAGTGCCACTGTTCCTGCACAGATATGCTGGGATTCACCAGCGCCGCTTCACCCGATGTCTGAGATGATTGTTCATGTCTGCGGTCGGTCGTGTCAAGGCGCCACTCTATGTGCACTGCCTCTGTCGTGACGTGGTGCATGAAGCGGTGCCAAAACAGAGAGAGTACTGGACATACGCGCACAACGTTACGACGTTGCGACATTCGAAGCAGTTCGCCTCTTCTTTCTCGGCTGCCAGAAGGCCCAGGGAAGTGAGCCTACAGCAACACCCGACACCCCCGTTCGAGCGTGTCCGAGTTGGCTGTGACTTTCATGTGCAGGGCGCGCGCTTGCCTGGATCTGAGTTCAAAGCGTGGCTCTGCCCTTTCTTGCTGCAACTCTGAGGGCCTTGCAGAAGAGCTAGACAGCTAGACATGTGACATGTCCTTTGTGTGCTGCTCGTGCTTGAAACTCAGGCCGTACCTCAAGAGTCTGCCAGTTTCGCAGTGCATCCAGCATGGAGGCAGAGATTCAAATCCCAACATAGCCCAACAAGGGCTGAGCTTTGCCGGGTGTACGGGAGGCCAACATGGTGCCACGCCGGGCGCCCGAAACACGAGACACGTGTCGGATGACGTGTCGGATGACGTGTCGGAGTGCGGATGAGGTACTGGCGAGCCTTTGCGGCTGCTCTGAGTCAGCAGCTGCAATCGGCATCTAGGCAGGGATGTCGCAGGGATGTCGCAGCTGGGCACTGTTGGCATGTCAATGTTGCTTTGCCTTTCTCCAGGCACGGCTGGCGGCGGTTCTTAGGCCATGCTCTGCGGCACCACCGGTGCCGTGGCAAGCAGCTGGAGGCGCGCTGTTCGCTGCAGCGTGCTCTTGCAGAGTGAGAACTGCGAAATCCTTTTCTCTCGCAAGCTGCGAGATGACACTTGGGGACCGGCAGGCGTGCGAAGAAATCATCGGCTTCTGCCCTCTGGGTCTTGTGCGAATCCCTCAGGAGATGTGTGAGGCAGGTAAGGAAAGGGCCCACATTGGTGCCATGATTCCAGTTTGAGCATGTGCACGTGATCTTTAAATCCCGCGACGTTGCCCAAGATCTGCACACCTCATGCTGTTGTTGAGTGCGCCGGGGGCCGAGAGACATCAAGGTGGCAATCGCGGTCGCAGCCTAAAGTAGTGAATGTCTCGCACGCGAGGCCGCGAGCGTATAGCCTGGATGCAAGGCTCTTCCTGCCATCTGCACCTCGTCTGATAGTTCGAAAGATTATCTAAGATCGGGCCTTTCTCTTGCTTCTGCTGACACCGCTGCAATTGATTATAGCCGCTTTCCTGACGCTTTCCTAACAAGTAACAAGCAACTAAGGATTGGGTAAAAACAAAGCTGTGAGCGACATCTGAGAGCCAAGGCACCGGCTCATCCGTTGGAGCAACTGGGTCAGGAACTTGGGAGAAATACAGGGCAGAAACGAGGGTCCACCGTGGCAAAAGGCACGTAGGGCATTCTTAAGCCAGTCTTTAGTGCAGAATCGGGGTCATGTACTCCCAGACATCACAGTCAGGTGTGGGAGTGGGCTACTTTCTGTGGAACCCCGTCGGCTACAAGCCAAACTCCCAGGAGAGTGCAACTCGGCGTCTGAGGAATTCGCACTCCTTGCGGCATGCGAGGCTTCGGGACCTGGTCTACAGCGGCTGGCCCATCTTCGCGCTGCTCCGTGAGCTGCGGTTGAAGCTTCCCAGGCTGGGCGGATCCCCTGAAGCCATTTTCGCCCCTCACCCGAGCTTTCTCCGGTTCGAAGAGTTGCTATTTGTCATCACTTGCTGATAATTGCTGTCGTCATCATACCGCCGGGCCTGTTGTGTATTTCGACTGGCACTGTGGGTCTGAATGAACTGCCTCTGCGAGTGCTCATTGCCTTAGATTTCAAAGCCTGTAGGCTGCTCGATCGATTGCCCAACTTCGCGGGCAAGGACAAGAGCCAGGCTCCTACTTCAGCAGCTCTGCACCGGGATGGGGCAGGGGTGGCGGTTCAGGGAAGCACGGTCGTAGGTGATCATGTGGCAGAGTAGAGGTGGATGAGAATTTTCAACTAGCCGGCTGCTGTACCGCAGTATTCTCTGGTCTCAGATCAACTTGGATGAGCTGGTACGAATTGGAAAAATTCGACAGCAAGTGCCTCAGCTGTTGCTGACAGGTCTGAGCTTTCCGAAATCCGAAAACTGCGATCATGCAGTTCATGCGGTGGAGCATGCCATGACCGTAGACACGTGGTGTTTGCCACTTTGGTTTGCAGGTCCTCCGGGACTTCGAATGACTTCGAAGCGGCCTCGGTGTTGACAGAAAGTTTGAATTGGTTGTGCATGCCCTTTGCCTAGTGGCCTCCTATCCACAAGGTGAGATGGGCCACGGCCCAATTCCTGTGCCAGTACAGCCCAGAGGCAGGTCGTGCACCGTGTGTAAGGCCAAGACCCTGGCCCTGCGACTTCAGTAGACTCATTAAACATTTCGCAACGTCTTGTAGTTCTGCTGGTATCCGGCATTGTCGGATCAAATGCGCTCACTGGCGCAGGGAGGTGCGTCTTCTTGTCCATTTCTCGAGGTGGGGGCCACGTTTTGGGAAGACTATGAGCAAGCCGCAAGGAGCAAATGACAGGTGTTCTGGCATTGCTGAAAGAATGAGAACTGAACACCATTAAACACCATTAAACACCATTAAGCACCATTGAGCACTTGATTTCGCATGGACTTGCCAAGGCTGAGTTCTCGCTGCAAAGGGCCGAGGAGCCAAGGGGACCTGAGCTGCCCAAAAACTGATTTACTACTCCGTGGCACAGCGTTGATGTTGGTGTTTCGCTGCCTGACTGGCAGCTCACATCCCACCAGGAGATCTTCCGCATGGCCGGACAGCATTTTGGCAGGCAGCGCGTCGAAGCTTGGTTATCTTAGCGGAAAGCAGAGGAGTTAGGAAGTTGAAGCTGCTGTGGGAGATCGGGGCATCATGTATCGCTCCGTGTTCATGATCGTCCATATCTCGGAGGTCTTCGACCAGACAGAAGGCCTTTGACAGCGCCCTCGACACGGCCGAGAGCTCGCTGGAAGCACAGATGCTGAATGACCGAATGCTTCCTTCCGGAGTACTTGACATGCAGTATCGTGCAGGGCTTTCGTATTCCAGGATGCGAACCTTTCCAAATCGACTCCTTTCCTTTCTACACGGTTTTTGACTCGTATATTCTGATAAGATGGGAGCATACGCAATATGCTTGCACCTTCGGTTCTACATCCAGCTCCACTGACTCTCCACAGAGTGAATGCTGGGAAGTTGTGAAGCGCTCCCCTCCCTCTCTGTCTCCCTCGTTCTCTCTCGCTCTCCTGCTCTGTTTTTTTTTCTCTCTCTCTCTCTCTCTCCCTTTATTCTTTCTTTCTTTCTTTCTCATTCCCTGGCTTTCTCTCTCTGTCCGTCTCTCTGTAACCTCTTGTGCGTCACGTCGCATCAAGGCTGCGGCGCCTCCTCCGTTGGTTTCAGCCGAGATCGACCGGTGCCTCCTTGCCCGCGTCACGCCTCGTCGCAGGCCGCAGCTGCAGGAAGGGGGTGGTTTGGGAAGGTGTGGGAAGGTGTGGGAAGGCGAAGATGCGGGAAGGTGTGGGAGTGCTGAGCAAGAGAAAAGGGGAAGGCCTTGCATTCGGGGGTCGAGCATATCAATGATAGTGCAGCTCGATGTGAGTCTCTCGCAAGGCATCCTAATTGCCGGGGATGTCGTGCCACTCCCAGTTAATGCACCTAGAGACTGGAGGCACTAGTGTCTTGGAATGCGGTTGCTGGTTTATTCTATCAGGTCCTGCCGCGTCTGGAACGCTTGCAACGTCGAGTGGCAAAGCTACACCTTCGAATGCAGCGTGCGCAAGACTCGGAGAGCTGTATGGGGTTCTGGATGATTCTGTTGTGCATTGTTGTGCAGCTCAGCCATGACAGACTGAGCCTTGCCAGGCCACATCGTTACTTGACGACGGGACGGGAGCTCTCCAAAAACGAATATTTGCACGTTAGGCGTAGGATAGCGTAGGCCGCTGAAAGTGGATGATCGGCCATCTTGCTTAGAGAGCATGCTGGTAGCGGCAGCAGAATGCAACCGATGCCTCAATGACGGTGCTTTTGAGGACGTATGCTGTGGCTGACAGCATCTTGGAACAGGGCTCATTGATCGCTGAGGTCCCCGATTGTTTTGATGTAAGGTTTGGCTGGTCGGGCTTCTTGCTTGGTGCTGTAGCGATGACATGCAGAAATCTGACGGAGGCCGCTTTCGTCACGGCTCTCTATCTACAGCTGGGGGACAGAAGGCATCTTCAGCTTGGGACTGCTTGTGATGTGCGCGTGGGCAGTCCAAAGAAAGATGCAGTGCGACCTTTGTCGGAAGGTTACGCACGCAGCCGCGCATGCCCAAGGTGGACGTGGAGCAGGAGGCGTGTGACATGGTTTTATTTCGCTTGGCTGGTGATCGCGAGTTCGTGCTCTATCTTGCAGCCTAGCTCCCGACGACCGCGTCGAATGTGGCAACATGACACAGGCGTGGGTCGTCCTCCTCTGGGGGGGCAATGGCAGGAAGGCTCCTGCGAGTTGTTCTAGGAGCAGGGTCAAAGCTTTCAGATGGCTTGCTCCGTCCATCCATGTGGATTTGTTGATGATGGAAGGTCCTGTGTGATCTTTAACCACCTTCCTGCATATGGAACAGTGTGCTTTGAGCTGAAGGTTGCAGGTCTGGCTTTCTCTTGCAATGATGTTCGGTTTTAGTTCAAAGTTTAAGAGAACCACCCTACCAGGTAGGCGAGACCCGAACTTCAATACAATGGCTTGGAAGTGCAGCAATTCGTCCAGCCAACTAATCGAAGTCTTTGTCGTAGGCCGAGCGCCGAGCCTTCCTCTACTCCGAGGCCTCAGAAGCTTCTGGGGGGGGGGGGGGGGGGGGGGGGGGGGGGTGGCTGGGCCACAGCTGTGGCAGTTCCACAGCCTTCACTAGGCCATCCGCACCCTGGCCTTCTCCGCTCGACGGGCCGAGGTCTTTGGGCTGTTCTGCACAAGTCATGTAGAGGGATCATGGCATGCCGAAGTTGCGACAGTTTTATCGACATGGCTTCCTTTCTCCTTCCGTGCTTTCCTGGGTCCGCCGCGATGTTTTAGAGCTCGAGACCGCTGGCCGAAGACGCCTCTCCTGTGGCGCTTTTGGGCCATGCCAAAGGCAGGGACGTTTTTCTTGACCTTGTCTCCAACTTCATGCCATGACCAAGCTGAATCCTGGCATTTCCTTGCATTCCCTTGCTGTCCCCGCCAGGATTGGGCTCATGACGGTGCGACGGCGCTGGAAGATGTCGACAGCGAGTTGACTTATTCAGGGGTCGTCACCAACGTGGGCCAGCTTCTTTGATGAAGGTCAGATGCAGACGGGTATTTGCGGGATGGTTCTGGATGTTAAATGTAGGCCCACGGCACTTTAGGCTTCTGCCCCTGCTCCTCTGATGGTATCCAGCTGAGGTACGGCGTCTTCATCGACTTCGGGGCTGTGAAGGATGCACTTCTCAAAGTTCCGACAAAGCTGCTCGCTCGCATGTTGGCGTGGCGACGTCCCAGTTGAGTTTGTCCGCTTGAGTCGCCAAGGCTTGGTCGCCGCTTGCAGAAAGGCATGGAGGTGGACGGCCTGTCGATCTTGCAGCTTGGCGTTGGTGGGTTGCAGTTCGGAATCCGATCGCATGGCCTTCGGTTCAGGTCCACCTGGTTCCGCCCACACTTCTCACCAAAACTAGAATTGGCCGTAGCGCATCCCTGTTTCATCTCCTTAGCAGCTGCGTTTGCCTACCTAGTGTTCACAAAAAGGGGCAATGCGATCCAGAATCTTGCTTGGTAACAGGGCGAGATCTCCCGCGCTTAAACCCCATGGCAGAAGCTCCTAGGATGCCATCTGTTGGAAGCTTGCTTAAACGTTCGGGCCCTGCTGAGGAGCATTGATCCTTCTGCCGGTAAAGCGCCTCGGCATGAAGCTTCGACACTTTGGGGGCAGCCTTGAGATGGTACAACACAGGACTTGCACTTGAAAAACGACCCGCCATTAGAGAGAGCGAGAGAGCTTCCAGCAAGGGGGCCTCTTCGCTGAGAAGAAGAAGAAGAAGAAAAAGAAGAAGGATAATGATAATAAGAAAAAGAAGCATAATAATAAGAAGAGTAAGAGTAAAAATAATAAGAAGAAGAAGAGAGAGCGAGCGAGAGAGATGCCCTGTAAGAAGAAGAAGAAGAAGAAGAAGCAGAAGAAGAAGAAGAAGAAGAAGCAGAAGAAGAAGAAGCAGAAGAAGAATAATAATAATTACATTAAGAATAAGAAGCAGGGAGGGAGGGAGGGAGGGAGGGAGGGAGAGGGGCTTGTCAAAGGCAATCAAAACTGGGTGTGATCATACACGATCCCCAGTCCCACAAAGGGGGAAGGGGCACTGAAAACGAAGGGCGCATCAGGAGAAAACATGTGAACCAATCGCGGAAGAAGTGCATCATTCGGGACATCACTGGGAGAGCATGGTGGAACCTTCTCCAACCGTCCTGTGCTGACTATCCCGAACAGGGGTGTGCGCAATGTGCTTATGCCCTGCGAAGAAAGGAAAGGGAGAGATGGGGAGAGAGAGGGAGAGAAAGAGAGAGAGAGAGAGAGAGAGAGTGAGTGAGTGAGAGAAAGAGATATTTGTTTAAGTTGCTTAGTGGTATTGGCTTGTGAGTTTCCAGTCTCCTACTCCGTGTTGAAGATGCAGGTCGTCATGGAAGCGGATGAGTCCCAGTTCGAGGAACTCCCACCCAGGCCGATGGAAGTGAAGGTGAAGCCCTGATCCAGGGCAGACTCTCAGCGAGCCACAAAAACCCTCAAGCAGACGCTTCCTTGTGCCCGCGTCCCCCACCCGAAATCTTCCCCCCCTCCAGGCCGCGGAAGGCCCGGAGCGGAACCCCGAAGGCGAAGGCGGCCGCAAGGACGGCCATGAAATGATGGCAACGGCAGCCGTTTTCGTTCAAGTTCCTCTTCTTCCTTTTCCCTTTTCTTTTTGGGGCAGCGTGCCGCTGTTTTTTGTGGAGAGGTGGGAGAGGTTGGATATGGTTGGATCTTGCCATCTGAAACAGGGTGCTCACGAAGCTGCTGTTGAGGACCCGGAGCCGACCCCGAAAAACTTGGGATCACTCAGGCAAGATGGGGCGGCAGCTACCCAGCATGTGCATGTATTTGCATGTATATGCTTGTGTGTATGTGTGTGTATATATGTATATATTCATATATGGATAGCCTGTGTGAGCACCTCCTTTCCATGTAGCTGTCTATCTACTTGAAGGTTTATGTTGTCAGGATAGTTTGGGAACTATTGAAGGACGGCGTCATAGGCAGGATGAGTTAGACAGCTTTCCCAGTGTCGAGTCAATTGAAGTATACGTTCACGATATGTAAACTATGCCATCCTCCAGAGCTTGATATATCTAGTTTAGGCACTTTGTCTTTGATTCAAGCTGAAGTGTGCAAAGCTCCAGGACTTGAGAAAGCTTCGTCATGTTTGAGAATATAGATAGTTTGAAAACTCCCTGCAAGGATGGTTGATCAATCAGGATTTGCGTGTTTGATGGCACGGCCGCGCAGCTATGTGTGAGGGGATGCATGTTAAAATAAGAACATGAGTGTCTGTCAGTTCTTGTGAACTGAAGGTCCTGAGCGGCATGATGTCTGTCCGCCTGTCTTGGAGCAGCATGGACTTGCCAAGTAGAGTACGCGTTAGGCGGTGATGCGGCTCGCGGATCAACACATGGCCTGAGGAGTGCAAAGGCACTCCGATTCTCAAGTTCAACTCCCTCGCACCGCGTTGAGCGGAGCATGCTGAGGCGATGGTTTCCATGGAGGACTTGCTTCTCGGCCTGGCACGAGAATCCTGCTGGAGCCTGGAAAGCTCCCATGCGCATGATGCGCATGATGGCTGCCGCCCGCCGCAGCAACGCCAGACCGCAGCATGTGCCAGGCAACAAGCACGCTCGTGAAATACAGAGGCCCCAGGACAGCTTCTATTCACGAACAGGGCGCAAGGGGCATGACGAGCTCCACGTTCTTCTACCTCCAGTGGGCTCTGCGGATGTGCAAGATGCAGTTCGGAACTGGCACAGTCGTCTGAAGAAAGCGAAGACGCCAGACGATTTACTTCAGATCCTCAATCTTGCACTTGGCCGTGCAGAGCTGGACGGCAGTGTGATCCGTGCGTCTCTGCAGAAATGTGGTCATGGTCGCTGGTGGCATGCGCTCCTTGAGGTCGACAGAGTACAGCTCGAAGCCTCTGTGGAACTTCGTGTCGTCGAGCGCTCCATTTTCTTAAATGCATTGGCCTCATGCCTCAAAGACGCCAGCCTTTCTGAAAGCACGCGCCGCATTCGCAAAGACGAAGCTTTGCAAAAAGGCATGCGCATCTGGCAGGGCATGCCAGAGTCAACCAGTGAAGTGGAGTTCAACTGCGCTCTGGGGAGTGCGTGGAATCTTTGTGCCTCCGCTGGCGGCGACACAGCTTGCGAGTGGGCGATTGAGCTGCATGAGTGGTCTTGCTCTCAGCCGTTTAAGAAGAACATTGTCACCTACACATCTTTCCTTACATTGCTTGAAAGCTGTGGATGCCAGGAGCGCGTCAACGACCTCTTGCAGCAAATTGTGCAGGAAGATAAGTTGTCTCTGAATGAGGTCGTCCTTGGAAGTCTGGTCAATGCGGCTGGCAGTGCCTTCGACTGGCAGCGTGTTGACCGGCTCTGGGGCATGTTAACCACGACTGGTGTAAGGCCCAATGTAATCTGCTATACCGCGCTTGCCAAAGCGCACATGTTGTCTGGGAGACCAGAAGCTGCAGCAGAGAGCCTGGATGCCATGCGTGCCGCAGGTGTCGGGGCCAACGACGCCCAGGCAGCGTTGTGTTACCTGCAGGCCTTAGTGATTTGTTGCCACTCTGCGCCCACGCCATCAAACTTCGCGCGACTGAAGCAGTGCCTTAAATGGGGTGACTCTACAATGTCTGGGGGCAGCCGGCAAATACAACAGGACTGGGAAAGGCTGGCCGCAGTGGCTGAGAGGCTTGTCCACGATCCGGCGTCGCTTCAGTTCCATGAGCTTCTGGTCCAATTGAATGCCAAGAGGAATGGCAAGATGAAGGATTGGCCGAACCACGAAGCGGGGTCAGGCTATCTGCAAAGGTTCGTGGAAAAGAGTCGGCCCACTCCTGCCCTCTGTACAGAACTTGGGAACTTGCCCTCGTCTCATGCCCTGATCTTGCAGATGCTACACCCTTAGAAGAGATCTCCGAGGGCGATGTCTTCGCAGGCTGGCTCCCCAGAGTGCCACAGTATAATCACGGCTTGTCGTGAGTGCCGCGGATGCCTTGAGATGCAATGAGTCCCACATGACAAGCCTGCCGAAGTGTGTCGCTGTGCAGGTACAGTCACGAACGTCGGCGTGTATGGTGTGTTTGTTGATGTGGGCGCGGCACCTCGGCCAATCATTCTCACGAGCGCACCAGGAATGCAACGTTCCCGTTGGCAAGCTGTCGATCGGCCTGGCCGTTGGCCAGCCTCAAGGTCAAAGCAGGTATGCTCTTGTATGCGAGGACTGGTGGATAAACCGCCGAATGCTGTTGACATCCAACCGCGCATTGCGCATTGTATAAGTAGTTCTTTCAGTGAAGTCACGTTGGAGTCTGATGGGTGTGCAGTTGGCATCTCAGGCGACAGCTAGTTTGAGGACGGTGTGTGTGTGAGAGAGATAGAGCGAATTTTTGTTCAGCCATGGCTTTTTGTTCCACCGCAGTCCGGCCAGAACGCGCTCCAAAAAGAATTAGGAATGAAGGAATTGGAATATCCCCGTGTGAAACCTGGGAGTGCCGGCGAGTCTCCTCAGCCGAGTCGAATCTGAGGTGAGAGATGCGCGCCTGAACATCCCAGCCTCCATCGGCAAAAGGTTTAGAATCGGCGACAGCATCCCAGATGCTTGGAAGCACCCAGGTTGTCCCCCCCCCCCCCCACATGCCCCTCACGTTCCAAAGCTCCTTCTTGCCAAGTTCAATGAGAGCAGCAGTGCTTCACTTACTTCGAAGTGCGTGCCATACCGTGTTTGTGTTTGTAGCGGATGTCCAGCCTGGCCCTCATTGAGGAATGCGTCATCGAGAACGTGGACCTCGAACAGCAGCGCATGGCTGCTGGTCTTCCGGATGCCGAGGCGGGGGGCTAATCCCTTCTCAGGTGCTTGTGATTAGGATGCGATATCGTGGTTCACGGATTAAGGGTGCTCATTCCTCACGTGCTGGCTTTGACATGCCCCCAAGCAGCTGGCGATGTCCACCCTGTCCAGGCCGTGGTTAGGGACCTTCCGCCAAAGGCGCCGCCAGGGTGTCTGCCAAGCTCCACGGGAAATCAGCTGGTCTCTGCACTGTACGTTCTCAGCTATGGGGGCTTCCGAAAATAGGGGCACCCTTTTTGGGGGTCCCTTTAAGGCGATTCTATTCTATTTGGGGTATACAAAGGGGTACCCCTATTTTGGGAAATGCCCATTCTTGAAAATCCCAAAGAGTGGAGCCTGTCAACCCTGGCGCTACATCTGCCGATCTCCACAGGAGCGCACACCGCGGCCCGCTACCAAGGCGCAGGTGCCCTGGCGCCCTCCTTCTTGCATCGTAAAGAATTCAGGGTTTAGGGTTTAGGGTTTAGGTCGTGACTCAAGTGCTGTCCTAGGAAGGTGGCATGTATCAGCGGGCAGTGGGCCTCGTGCTGCGGATGACAGCTTCCGTGGCCCCGCAACCCCAAGTAGATTCGGGCTTCCGAAGGGCTGTCGTAGATCCGTCCTTTGATCAGATTTTTCTGTACTTGTGATTTCCATGATTTCCCTTTTGGATCTTCTTCTGCCAGGCCAAGCCCAAGCCCAAGGCCAAGGCCACGGCCGGGGCTGCGGCCCGGGCGCAGTCTCCGAGGCCACAGGCTGGCAAAGGCCTTCCGAAGGCCGAGCTGACAGGGATGATCCCACCACGGATTTCTTGGGTATTTCATGTCTTCGTTTTGAGTACCCATAGTTCTTTGTCTTGTGGACTGTCCTACAGCTTCTCTGTAGTTTGTTTCAGGCTTGTCTGCAGGGGTAGTAATTCCTGCACGTATCGCATGTCTACTGCACGTATCGCGTATATGTAGCTGGTTCATGACTGGCTTTTCAATTTGACCTTGGAGGCAAAAGCCAAAGCAGCGGGCAAGGCACGACAGGGATCAACATAATTATATGATAACGGTATTATCACAAGAATATATTAGCGAACTCTGAATATATATATATATATATATACATATATATATAGACAACACGTACACACACACACACACCCATGAGCCTAAGTCCGAGTGTTGCATTCGCGCTTAGAACCAGTCGACAGACCAAGAGAGGAGAGAACTAATTTGCATCCCGCGAAGAGCGCCCAAGGCAAAGGATGAGGCCCAGCTGGAGGTGGAGCGTCTTCGGAAGGCAGCGTGCATCGTGAGGTGTGAGTTTCTCAGACTCTTGAGAAGAGGGTTCGGGGTTAGGGCTGATAGAGACGGAGGTTCTAGTAGAAGATCTGCGCAGTGATGCCGTAAGCCTCTTTCGAGAAACCCAGCCGAGACATTGAGCGCCTGCAGGAGCTAGCGGAGATGAAGGCAGAGCCGAACGCGCATTCCACGCGCTTTGTTCCAGTCGGGTGAGCATTCGGGCCTGGACTCGAGGAAAGCAGCGGTTGAATTGAATCAACGGGGTGGATGTCACTGCGGATGCCGACAGCAAGGGAGTGGCGACAGGAACTCATGCAAACAAGTATTTGGCTCTGCAGTTTCCGAAATGGTTGCAACCCAACACCTCAAACACACTAAAGCAGCTCACGGCCCCTTGCCTTGATGCTATCTTATGGATCGGGGACGACTTATGTCTGTGCGTCGAACCAAGCTACGAAGCAAGAGCACGGGTTGTTTTTATCTGTCTGGATTGGCTGAACTGAAGCGACTTACTCAGTTGACTTGTTCTTCTGCCGAGCATACAGTCTCTCGGTTTTTTTTCCTTTCTCCTTTCCATCCTGTACTATTTGAAGTTAAAAAGCCCTCAAGCAGGCTGTCATGCGTGACTTGCGGAAGGAGCCAGTGGCTTGTAAGTGGCACATCTCGCTTTGCTTTTTTTCACCTTTCTACCGTCACTCCGAGATTGCCCCAGGAGCGTGTATCAAATGGTGCACAGCCAGCGCCAGCGCGGTCGGCCCCGAAGGCCCTTGCGCCACCACATCACGACCCTTTCCTAGCTGTCCTCCACGAGGGAAAAATTCGGAGGGTCGTTTTTCCTTTGTGGTGCTTGCGCCTTGCGCTCCTGCCAGGCCGCCGCCAGGTCGCAATCGCCAAAGCCCAGAGCAGCACCCAAAGCCACGGCCAAAGCGGCAGCAACTTCGGGACCCAAGGCGGCCACGCCGAAATACGGGGCCTCACCGAAGGCGGGGCAGCCCCAAGGGCCATTCAGAGCATCCACTGCCATGAAGCCACCATGGAATGCTCGTCAACGTGGGCCTATCATGACAGACTCTAACACAAAACGCAAAAGCGTGACATGTTGCACCATGTTGTGCTATTCCTGAACTTCTAAGTGTAGGCATGTTTAGGATACGGTTTTCGTCTCCTTGCTCGAGAGACTAAGAACAAGCAGCAGAAAAAGAAGAACAAGAAGAAAAAGAAGAAGAGAGAACACACCCGAAGCCTATCAGAATCAGCCGGAGTCCGCCCCAATGCGTCCAGGCCAAGTCCACCGCCACGGCCAAGGCACGCACGGCGTCGCCGGCGCCGGCGGCGCCCGCTGGTCGGCGCGCCGACCAAGGCCTGCGTGACAGCTTTTCGACAACTCACACAACTCCTTGAGCACACGCCATTCATGTAAAGCTGCTACTGCATAACTATGGAGAACTCACACAGAACGAACTGCTCGGTACTGTCTGTACCGTTGTGAAGGTCTCTGTCTAGCAGTGAGGAATCACAACCCAGGCACTCCTCCGCACTAGTTGCAGTGCGGGGAGATTGCGTCGGACGTTTGCGTGCGTCTGCTATTGTTTCATGAAAGCCTTCCTGCAACCTGAAGCATCTGAACCTGCCGACCTCCCAATCACCATCAACCTCAGGGATTCCCATCGAGAAGCTCCGTGTCGGCGCAAGTGTGGATGGCATCGTCACAAACAAAAACCAGTCGCTGGGCTTGGATCCAAAGGTTTCAGAAGAATTGCATTGGGGTACCTTGGTCAGAGAGCGTCTGAGATCCATTTAATACATGGGAGAACCAGCATGCTTCTGTCTGTGAGACATTGAGCTCATGGTCCGAAGTGAAGGTTCGGCGTCTTTGTCAACATTGGATGCACCAAAGATGCCCGCCTCAACGTCTCCAAGGATCTGGCCAAGGCACGGACGCAGAGAAGCCTCCGCCTACTGCCGTAGCTTACCCAAACTCGAGGACATGCGAAAAGGAGACGAGATCTACGGCATGCTGATTGAGTCGGTTGCCAGCAGACTGCATTAAGTTGGTTCAGCCTGTTTGAGCTGGAAGCAGCCGAAGCAATACCACATTCTATACAGAGCCTCAAACGCTTTCCCGCCACCCCAGGATTTGGACAAGAACCAGATCTCCTGTTTCTTGGAGGACCATTGTTAGGGGGGAGGACTACTTCGTTGTTTGACAGCCTTGGCTGCCTGCAAGCTGCAGGACCCCGAGCTCTATGTGGAGGACGAGGCCCCACCTCCCAGACGGCCGCCTCGACGATAACACAAGGCACTGCCTTGCATTGTTGCAATGTATTGCGGGATTTTGCAGGACGGTCGCGGCTTCATGTTGTCGTCAGTGTTGCCTTCATGGCAGCTCCGTTGCAGGTCCTCGAGTCTCCGTGTGGCGCAGCCGCAAAGCTGCAGCGGTCAGCTGGGCTGCAAAGTGAAATGAACATAGCTGAATGCGGGTGCCGGTGGCGACGCACATCGATTCGCAAGCAAAAAATCGTAGACCACCCGTCCCAGCCAAGTTGAATCCGAAGCAAGCTTCGAAGCATCAGATCCGCCCGAGGGCGTGACGTCATGTAGCTTGAGTGTGTGATTTGGGGGCCTGAACAGGATGCGTTGCTCCATGCTGCTCGCCAGCATGTGAGCTGCATGTGCATGCAGGCCTTCAAGGAAGGAGTGTGTTTCACGCCACCGGTAGCCAGTCCGAGCCAGGCAGGACGGGTCTCAGCTCCCACGTTCGCCCAGGACCCACAGCACACTGACAAGCATTCCAAGTAATGCACCCAGGCGTCATGTGGCTACCTGGGCGATTAAGGTGGGTGGCGAGGGGATCGCAATGACATCTGCAATGAAGGTAGAGTGATCCCTTCTGTGGGGGGTTATATATGCTTTGCATATATATATATATATATGTAAATATGTATACACATCAGCTGATCATCTCAACTTGATTGGATCTGCTACGATGCTCGACAACATTGCGCAAGAGAAGCCGCCCTCTAGCAAGATGCTCTCGTGCCAGGCGGCGACAGATACAATGCCCCAACTTTCTCTATCTTCTAGCTCTCCTTCAAGTGGCATAGGACCACAACAGGATAGTAAGTGATTTGCGTTGGTGCCATTGCGACTCGAGATCCTCCTCAGACAACACCTGAGATGTACTGTGTACTACCATTTTCAATGCTGACCGGAAGAGAAGAGGAATCCGCGTGGCTTCACCCAGTCGCACGCATGAACGGCAGCACGCACGAAGCAGGTGCACGCGATCCCTCGTCCCAGTCCGACCGAGTAGATGACTGCTGGCACCGTTTGAAATGACAGCCTGCTAGAGCCTTGTAGATCGACCAGCTGTGGGCGAACCATGTGCGCTGATGTGCACTGTCGAAAGGCTCCGGGAAGCCGACGACCTTTCATTGTCCTGGCCGTGGGCGAACTTCCCAGAGCATCGGTGCAGGAGGGCGGGTGTTGTGAGTTGTGAGGAGGCTATGCTCGGCCATTTTGCCAACCCAGACACAGAGCCAACGCGATCCAACGTGTGCCGTTGGAGGAGTTGGAAGCGGATGGCTTGGAGGTGCGCGACATAGCTGAGATGAACCAGCCTGGCTCTTGGCAGAGTACACGGTTACGTAAGAGAGGGACGAGAGGGACGAGAGGCCCTTGCTTTCACAAATCACAGAGAGCACCGACAAACCGAAGAGAACTGCAAACTCAGGAGCCTGCCGGCCTTGGACAAGCTTCTGCACTCAGCCAGGCAATTTGGCAAATTCGAACTCTGTGTTCTCGTTGACTGAAGTGTCTCTGCGCTCTCTCTCTCTCTCTATGTCTTCCTTTATGCTGTTTCTTGTGCGTGTGTGTGTGTGTGTGTGTGTGTGTGTGTGTGTGTGTGTGTGTGTGTGTGTGTGTGTGTGTGTGTGTGTGTGTGTGTGTGTGTGTGTGTGTGTTAACAGGCAGTCTGGCCCATGTTGTTCATGTTTCGTGCTCTTGTCGGGGAGGCACGGTGCCGGTGCCTGGTTCGCAGAACGAGGCCTCGGCCGAGGTTTATCGGAGCCTCAACTGAGCGCTCCCCCTGTTGAGCCAAGCAGTGCAAAGCTGGCAGGGCTTCCCCCCAGCTTTCCCCAGCTCGCTGCCTGGGCATTGCCATTCCGTCGGGTCGGGACCTAATAGCGCTGCTACTCGTAGCTGCCTTTGCAGAGCATATCGGAGCCTATTATCCCTGCAATGTGAATGAGTTTGTCTGTGGATGAGTGCTTGTTGCTGCTACGCTGCTACTCCAATCACAGCCTCCGTCAGGTTGTGATACTCGATGCGCGAAGCCCAGCCCATTTCAATGCTATGTGGGCGGCATGGAAGGGCTCAAGAGGCTCAAGGCTTGGGCCGAACGAGTATCCGAGTATCCCTCTCCTTGCTTTGACCCGTGGAGTTCGGACTCTTCTCCTGAGGCAGACACGCTGGTCCTGGAGAACTGCGATGAGCCTTGCTTTCGCAGAGAGACATAAACATCCATGCCCGGCTTGGCACCGGCTTTCCAAAACCAAATCACGAGTATGGTGCCCTGCAGCGCAGCACCAATCAGGAGCTGTTTGATTTGGGCGCCGTGGCTGTTGCTTCTGGGTACGAGATCCACCAGGAGAAGATCGCTTTAAGGGCATTTCGGGGCCTCTCTAAGTGCCCGTCGATGGATCCAGGAGCAGCTCGACTTGTCCCGACACGATGGTAGCCCGAAGCTCAGAAGACATCCAAGAGTTCTCAAGAGTTCCACGGTGGACTTCTTGGCAGAGCGCATCCGGCTGTGCAGTTGCAGTTGGCAGGCCGGACCTACATGATCAACGCCGGAGCTCGGACCCCGGCTGGCAAGGCCAACGTCTATTGCACGATCGAACGAGTTGTCTTCAGCCTGGCAGTCAGGTCATCTCCTTACGTCCCGACCCACAGTTCCTGCGCTACATGCAGGCGGTGGCTGCCGGCGCCCCAGGCGTTATGCAGTTATGTAGCTGTAGCTATTGTACTTAGACGAAGGTGAGACATGCTGGTTACTTCGTGAAAACTCGGGACTTAGAACGGCCATCCTGTCATGGCAGTCGGTTTGGGGACAGATGAGAACTGGAGGCTGCCGATGCCTTCCGGGGCAGAGTGGAACACTACGCGGAGGTGGAAGACTAACATTGAGTCATGTTTCACGATGTTTCACGATGTTTCATGTGGCGTGAGCTGCGCCTGATTCCCTAGGAAAGCTGAGGTTTTCAGGAAGTTTCAGACTCTGGAGTCGACTTGGGTAGTGTGCACGCAGGCTGCTGCCTTTAGGGGCCGAGTTGCAGTCTTGTTCTGCCTTAGTTCTTGTTTTGATCATTTGCTTTGGTGGTTTTGCTGAAGAGTTATTTGTGGTTCTCTCAATCCTTGTGCAAGGAGAAACCTTTATCTAGACCAACGTGCGTGTTAAGCCCTGAAGCTTCCACTTGCCAAAGCTTTCTGAAACACAGCCCCCACTCCAACAAGCGAGGGAAACAACGAGCAGAAAGCCGCTGCCCTGGAAAAGCTACAGCTGCCGTGCTTTGGGCGCCCAGGGCGCCACTCCCACCTTTCAGCAGTTCCTGGACATCTTCCTCCTGGAGGCCATGGAAGCACGAAATTTGTGAGGTTTTCGACCCTCGAAAGGTCGAGGCTGCCCAAATATCCTCCAAGACATTCCGAAGTCGTGTCTTGACTGCCCCCAAGGTTGCCTTCGCCGAAGCTCGCAACCCTGATTCCCTGAAATGAATCTAATCTGAAGCTCCTCTAGTGCTCGGTTCCTGGCGCCTTATTAGCTGGCTCAAGCCTGTGAAACTCTGGGGCGTGATGTCCAAGCGTTGCCTGAAACATCCATTGATGAGCATGGCCAAGCACTGGATGAACCTTAGTTGCGCTTGGATGTCTGGTTCTTGAGGCAAGAGTGGCTTCCGCAATATCTGCACACTATCCTGCGGTCGATGTGTTCGACTTTTTCTTCCCACATGTTGATGAGCAGCCACACAGCCGAGGCTCTTGGTTGCACATGTGCTGCTATTGTCAAGGTGTGCTGCGCAGCACTCGGTTCAAGTCCATGCCAGCGGGGAGGCACCAGAAAATGACCGACTGCAAAGCATCTGCGCTCACCTGCATAGGCCTCCCCGCTTGGTCGCCCTGAAAGGTCTCAATGACAAATACTTCACACCGTGCTGCTGCGGGGGCCAAAGGACCATCAATGTACACATGATGCGCTTCGTGCGGATGGGTAGGTTTCGAACGCATCGATCCGTAATTCGATCTGTGTCATGGACGCTCTACTTGTACCGCGTCACAACTGCTGTGAGGCAGGGCTGCAACAAGAAGCTAGTTCAAGAAGTGAAATGCAAGAGCTCTGCGAAGAGAGAGAGAGGTTCGACCTTGGCCGCAAGCCCCTAGAAAGAGAGAGAGGGAGAGAAAACGTGCGTGAGAAACAAAAGACTGTGTCAGAGATGAGAAGAAGGAGCACAACAACAGTTGTGGCAATAGTAAGGTAGAAAGATACGAAGAAACAGAATCAACATGTCATAATGGTACAAGCAAGAATCTCACGAATACTGGGGCACCATAAGACGAACGTAATACACATCCGAAAAACTGACAATACTGAAAAGAAGAACAATACGAGGAAGAGCAGTAACACGTACATATAAACAAATATACAGATACACATATGTATATATATATATATGTGTATATGTATATATGTATATATGTATATATGTATATATGTATATATGTATATATGTATATATGTATATATGTATATATGTATATATGTATATATGTATATATACAGGCAATCTCTTATGCGAAAACACATTTAGGCTCAAGCCGCGAGTGGTTCGAACCTATGGCCCGACCCTCCGTGCGGGGAGGCAAAGCTAACAGGGGGGGAGAGAAAGGGAGAGGGAGACAGGTGCCCTCCCACTGCCTCAACGCTCTGAAAGCGTTTGTTCGCCAGGCGGGTTAGGAAGCTTCGTCCAAAAAAGTGGACCTCTACGGCTCGAGTCTTCAGAACAGCGAAGCGCGAACTTCGAGGCGTAAGAACTTCAGAAGCCCCATCTTGCGAACAAGGTTGGGCGGCCCCTAGCGAAGCCATAGAGAAAAGCAACAGCTGTAATAGGAGATCCCAATCGAGGGACATCGAGGGAGAGTCGATCGATCTCGTATCCGCCATTGTTTATACGGAGACGTAAAGTAGCGGGCGTGTAGCGTAAGGTTGATGGTGCTGAAGTTGTCCATCAATCGTGTGCTTCATACGTGACTCCGTTCGCTTGAACTCCATGCCGGGTGTGCACGCTTTTTGAAAGTAGGGTTTTGCCCGGGCTCCGTGGCCCCTCGCCGCATACCCATGACGTTCAGAAGCAACGAGACATTCATACAGAGAAGGGAGACAGCAAGCCGCAGCAACGCGCACTTCAACAAGTGGCGGAGGGCATGTCGTTGTTTGATGCTTTCTACGACTGCCTGTCTATCGAGAGCTGAGCCGAGCTAAGCCACGCCAAGAAGGCAAACTTTGGAACGACTCTCAGTGTCATATTTTTCGAGCTGCCAGAATGAGCTTCCGCAAAGAGTCTCAGAGACTGCCAGGACAACACCTTGTCCGCTCTGCAAAGTTGATTCAGGATGTCGATGTTGACACGGAGGAAGCTGCCCGATTGCAAGTCGCTAAAGGTCTGATGCCATAGGTTGGAATATGTGTGGTGGCCTGCTGAGGATGTGGAGTCTGAGTCTGGTGATTCGACAGCAAACTACCAACTTGCAGTTTACGTGGCAAGGGATGCACCGTGACAGCATTAAAGAGGCAAAAGTGTTCGAGGGAGACGCTTTGCTTTATCGTGCTCAACCTCCGGTCAGTCAGCCATCAGGTCATGAGATACAACTGGGGTGGATGGAACAACTGCAATGAGTTTAACGAGGGAGGCGACAGGAAGACGAAGCTGTACTGTGTCCGGGCAAAGTGGCTTGCTCATGAAGCGTGCTTGTCAAAGAGCAGGTAATGTCGAAGGTCAGATGGGTGAGTAGTTACGGCCTGCCCTGACTGCACGAAATTTCGCCAAGGAGGATCAGAATCACATTCGAGGGCGCGCCTCGAGGAATCAGCCTGAGAGTTGTAGTAGACTAGGAAAAGTTGCTGCCGATCTCCGGCTTACACTATCGGTGCAAGGAGTGTTCCACTACGACTTCAAAGGAAAGAAGACCCTCAAGGACACTTGCTGCTGCACAGGCAGTTGTAGCTCGGCCATCCATCATTTTCACACACACACACACATACGTTCAGGCACACACATTCAGGCACACACACACACAAATTCAGGCACACACACACACATACGTTCAGGCACGCACATTCAGGCACACACACACACACACACACGCACAAATTCAGGCAGACACACACACACACACATTTTCAGGCACACACACACACACACAAATTCAGGCAGACACACACACACACTCACACCCACCCACCCACACACACACACACGATCAGGCACAGTCATGCACGTCACATTCCGAGTCCACGCATCCGCACTAGTTAGTTTCGCACACAGATAGGCGCGCCGAACCTGACAGGAAGTCTTAGGCAGGTGCTTTCGCTGACTTGACGCTCCTCGTTTGGAAGTGCTCTGTCTGAAACTTTCATCATGCAAGTACGTAGGGAAGGCGTCTCGTCGCAAAATCAGAGGATGCAGTCGAGAAGAGAGTCGTACGAGTTGAATCGAGTGCAATGTTGGTGACAGAGATGGACATGCCGGTAACTCGGTAACAAACTCAAACTGCTTCAAAAGGAATGCCATCCGCAGAAAGAAGCCTTGTATTCGTCGTGTTCTTTCCCGGCTTGGGACCTTGGGTCGCGCTTGCGTTGATGCGCGCCGGTGCGCTTCACATGTGGCCTTCGCCACGACCCAGGACTTTTCATGTGTGCAGTGTCACTGCCCAGGTTCACAGTTAGGAGTTCTGCAGGAGCTTTTCCTCGGAAGCTACATGGAGACTGGGCACATTGACCACTGGCGAGAAGTCATGAAGGGGTGCCGCCAGAACAACTGCAACCACAGAGGCACTGGCCAATTGGCAAACGAGCAATGTCTGGCGGAGTGGTACTAGCGTGATGAATTGCGAGTGGCCGGTACAGTATGGTAAATTCAATGAGGTTGTACGCAGCAGAAGCTTAGTGTTTTTTGGGCTCCCGCACCGGCGAGGCTTTCATGCGTTGGGGAGGTGCCGCTTCGGATTCGTGGAGTCCTCAGCTACCTGCTACCTGCTATTGAGGAGTGTCAAGCATTGTCGTCGTCGTCGTTGTTGTTGCCATTGCAGCTTTAGTTGGGCAGATGTTACGCCAACATGTTTGCTGCATTATTCCCTCACCATGATTGCGATTGCCAATGATTTCCCGATGTCTTGGGTGGCTGGGTAACTTCATGCTTACCTTGTGAGTCTTGAACATACCACTGGGGCCATGTTTCGTATGCACGAAAACGGTTTTCATGAAACGGAATGCGTTTAAGCTAACGTCAGGAGAAGACCAGAGGTACATGGTACATGCATGCTGAAAGGTATGTTGTAGGAAAGCACCGTTTTCTGGGATGTCGATATGTTGTGTCAACCAGACAAGGACAAGATGAATATTGCGATGTAAATGCAGTTTAGCAGGTCTCACAATATGTGTGTATGTAGAATATATTCATGTACAGGTACATATATGTACCTCTATGTATATATATATATACATATGTACTATGCTGAAAAGATATGGGACGTCGTCCTTGTCCTGTCAGAAGGTGATGTTCTTCTTTTGTTGGCATATCGAGGCGTGCCTTGCGCAAAGAACATGTGCTCTTTGGTAGCTTCGCAGGCGCCAGATGCACTAGACAAAACCTCGGACCCAGGTAACAAACAACGAGAACGATTGCCGTTCTCCGGACCACACTGGGGGCGTGGGATGCGCTTTAATTGCGCCGCTTGGAAGAATCACAAGCCGAGTCATTTCTTTCCGAAGCAGCCAACTTGGACACTTGTAGGTTCAAAAGTGCAGCGATCCTCATACAGACATCGGACATGACACGACCCTGGAAAGAAGAGACCAATGCGCTTAGCCCCGTTACGTTTCATCTCCTCGTGGTCGCTTTGGGCTTGAAAGTGGTTGGACAACAATGCAGGTCAGGCAGCAGAGCGGCTTGCTGCTCCATCAGGGCTGGGCTGCCCCACCATGCATGCCACGAGGCCTGGAACGAGAGTACGGGCTTGAAGTGGCTTCTCTGGGCTTCTCCTGATCTTGATAGAGCTCAGAACCATGCAGAGAGCACGGAGCGCACAGGCCTTCAAGACCAAGATAGAGGCCGGTGCCCAAGACCTGACATGGCAATGGGCGCACTTGTGTGTTCTGGAAGAAGCATGAAAGCAGTATAGATTTCTATGGACCAACGAAGTGCAATGAAGTGCTTTAAGCTGGCTCGAAGGGGCGAAAAATGACCACGAAAGGCTTGCGGAGTGATTTGTAACGAAAGGATCTGAAGCGTCCTGGGGCCCCTGCTGGGACATTACCGAAGACCTGCCGTCGGAAATCTCGCATGGATTGCCCAGCTCCTGAATAACTCGGGAACGTCGCCTCGTTGCAGGATTGCAGCATTCAAGGGGAAGCTACACTAAGATTCGACCGAGCACCGTGATTGTTTCAGGTTGAGCCCGTGACCTGCGACAAGAATGTTTGCCCCGAAAGCGACGGTCACTTTCTGAAGGACGAGGATTCGCGAGCACTTCAGGGTCGCGAGCTTCTTTAGTGGATTGTTGCTTGGTGCATTCCCAAGAAGATCAAGCGTGCCTGGCCAGAACCTGCCAGAATTCTGCAAAGGCCACGGGTGCTTTGCAGGGTTTAGCCTCTCGAGTTCATGACAGCAGGAGGTTGCTCCATTCAAGTGTGATGTTCTTCGAGCAATCACAGGAAGGCTTTCTTTGAGACGTTGGCCATGCTGACCAGGTGAAACTTGCACGACGGAAGAATGCTGCGTGGGGGCCTTAGGTCTGTCACATGAGCACAGGCCAATATACATCGTATCACATCAACATTAAAGGATCAACCAGGCCTTACACCAAATAAATGGGCATGGGCATATCTTGAGCCAGAACAGGGCGTCATCCAAGCAAAGACGCCAGCTCCAGCACTAGTGGCAGTAACTCGGCTTTTCCGTACCTATAAGAGAAGAAGTTCCTAGCTGGGTGCTTTGAAAGGCAGATGAACAGTGACTGTAAACGTTGGCGCGTCATATATGGCGAAGTATCTATTAAGCTCCCTGCCCGAATAAGAAACGCAGGCCCCTCATCGGTCATAGATGTAGGGTGGGGATGATCGAAGTACATGATTGTTTTTGCTTTTCTTGACTTGTTACAAAGTTCCACGCGCCCGAAGTGTCTACCGGGAGTCTACCGCCCACATGCTGTTGTGGCAAAAGGTTCTACGCAAGTCTTCCTAACTTCTTGCCTGCTCCGCGGAGGTGACCACGACGACGACCACGACCACGTCCACGGAGAAGAGCGGGGCCTTAGGAACCAGGCGCCAGCACCCCCTTGAGCCTTCGCACCGAAGTCAAGTAGCTTGAGCTTGTCTTGTGTTGAGCGTGAGAATCCGGCAAATTCCCGCAAGCAGCCGCTTTCTCCCTCTGGCAGGGCGTCTCAGCTCCTGTTGCTGAGCTTTCTGGCTTGGCTTACGAGGCGAGTGCCGTGATGGGTTCACCTACCTAGAGATCCGGGCGACGTTCTCGTTCCAATCGATGCAGAAAGCAAAATGTCACAAAAAATGCGCCCGAGTCGTACCAACATCAATCTGGGGTTCAGCTCCATGCACGTCTAGGTCTGGCAAACCTTGCGGAGTGCTCCAGTTGCAGTTGAGGTAGCCGGTGCCGTGGGCTCTGGCTTTTTGGCCCTGTCTGTTCCTGAGCCTGGGAGGTGTCCTCCACTTTTCAAGCTATCTCGTTGCAGATTCAGGTATGCTGCTAATCATGGGTTTTTCGAGCGTTTTTCGAGAGGTCCAAGTCGTCGTCAGCATCTGAGAAGATTCACTCTTTCCTGTCTATGTCGGCAGTCACAAAAGGTGACTTTGCCGAGCTGGGGCACCTTGTGCAGATGGGCTCAGCATGGGCTCAGCATGAGCTCAGCGTGAGCTCAGCGTGAGCTCATCAGCGTGAGCTCAGCGTGAGCTCATCAGCGTGAGCTGACAGCCGCCTTTGCAACCAAAAAGCTGGATGAGCCTCTGGATGGCCTTTCCCTCATGGGCGCAGAAGCACGCAGCATCGGCCAAATAATTGCGCAGTCTCGCGCCAGGCCTCGGATCGGCGCGGCTTCGCTCATTGGGACGCAGGCCGATTCCGAGGCCCCGCTGTCCAGCTCCCATGTTCCAGGCGTTGTGAGCTCCTCCTATTTCTATGCGTGAGAATATCGTTTTTCTTTCTATGTGTTTTTTAGATGTATGTCATGATGTATGTCGTCATTCCTGCTTTGATTCCTAGTCTGCTCCGACACCTGCGACGATGCCTGCGCTCGGAGTCAGCAAGGCTGTGCTTCGCGAGCCGAGCGAGGTCGAGCATCGGGGCCCAGCTTGGGCACAAGGGAGGTCATCCGGTGTGCTGGGTGATGAATGCTGCAATGCTCTGCTTCGGAAGCCACTTCTAGGCTTGGACTTGACATGGATTTGGGTCAAACTCAGCACAAATTTTCAAGTCAGACTGCAACTGTCACTACTGGAGGACATGCAGACAGGAAAAAAATCTTGCAAATAATCACAGAGGCAAAGCATTCTGTATTCATCGGCACGCTTCCGCCTCGCCTCCTGCAATGGCCATGTTTTCAGCTCCCCGGGTTTGGCTAGTTTGTCTGATCTTCTCTGCATCTCCTTCTGCAGAGGCGACGGAGTTCTTCAGGATTCGCAGCGCTGTTGCTCCGCAGAAGTGCATCGGTGCCACCGACAGGCGTTTTCTCCTGTTGCGAGAATGTTCAACCGACCATACCCACCCTCATGAGGTCTGGTCCTTCAACAAAACATGGCTTGTCAACCTCAAGCAACTGGACCTTGATGGTGATGGCACTCTCCAAACAATGTGTGTCGGCTTTGACCGGACATACTATTATCACCACGGGCGCCCTTTGAGGGTACAGGTCTGTCAAGAGGGGCACCCAAACATGGATTGGGTTTGGGAAGATGGCCGCATCAGGCACGTTCACACTGGTTATGTCTTCGACCTGCCGGGCCACAACATTCCCGACTTGGACGGCAAGCGCAACGAGCCGGACCATCAGCCGTCCAACTTCGGCTGGTATGGGTTCCCAGAAGTTCAGCTTGGAGCCCAAGACAGTTCAACTTCAAGTGACCAAGTGTTCATGAAGGAAATCATGACGAGCTTGGGGAACCTCACCCAGCCCTTTTTTGAACCTCTTCCGGCAACGGAGGTCCTGCCCGACTATCCACGGGAGCAAAGCCCTATGTGCCCAGATGGATCCTTCGGTGAACGAAATGTGTGTCCACGCGTGCGTCGAAGAAGTCGCACGGACCTGCTGTGCCGAGGTGGTACGCTAACCTATAAATGTGTTTGCTTCCCAGGGTACTCCCCTCTCGTTGTGGGGATTACTCCGCCAGGGAATGACCTGGGTTATTTGGACTACACCTGCTGCCGAGGTGAAGGGACTGGCGACTCCGAGGAGTGTGGGGACCACGCCATTTGGTTGCCGCTCGCTGTTGCTCTGACTGTCCTAGGAGCTTGTGGTTTGCTCACAACCAGCCTGATGATCTACCGCAACAGGCCAAGGATTGCACCTGCTACAGAAGAAGATCTTCAAGTTTTGGTGCCTCAATGCGTGCATGACGGTGCAGTGCTCCACAGAACAGTGGAGCAAGCAAAGTGGGGCGTGAGCTTGGACGATTTGTGGCAGTTCAAGAGATTGGTGCATCATGCTGTCAGGTCAGGGGATATCAGGCCGACAGATCGAGACCAATTTTCTGCATCAGACGTAGTGAGAGGGCCATCGGCATACACAGTTGACAGTCAGATGATCCAGCCAGTGACTGCGGCTGCTGGCAATGTGAGTTGGGCACTGATGAAGCACCCGGAGGGTTTGCCGTGTGACCTCTTCGTCACTCACGGCTGGGCTGAGGGCATCTTTGACTTTGTCGAGAAGGTTGCGAATTCTTGGCCGAGATCAGCCCAAGGAGCTTACATCTGCTTCCTGTCCAATCCACAAAACCTTGACATTGCAGACTTGATACAAAAGCCGAGGGAGTCGCCGTTTGCCATCGCTTTGGGCGCGTCATCGTCCATGCTCGTGGTGTCAAATCATGTGTCCAGCATTTACACAAGGGCTTGGTGCGTCTACGAGGCGTTTTTAGCTGATTCCTGGGACAAGCCAATTCGACTTGCGAAGCGGCCTTTGTTGAATGAATGGCCTAGGATACTTCGTGTCTTCAGCACTGGCATCACAGCCTTCGGAGGAGGCATGTTGTTCCCCATAGGGCGAGTCAACTGGTATGGCTTGAGCTATGACTCCTGGAGCTTGATGTGGGAATTGCAGTGGGCGTTCACTTATTTGGGCCTCTTACTCGGTGCCTTTATTGGGCTGGCCTTCTACTGCTGCTTTGGGAGATTTGCGGGGACCATCCAGTTTGCGATTCATGCCATGACCGCGGTCCTGGCACTTTCTGTGCCCATCAATATGACATGGGTTGGTTTAAAGGATGTGCCGACACTCTTCCGGCTTTCGGCGATAGTTGTTGGAACAGCTGCGCTGGAAGCGGACCGGCAGCGGGCCTTAATTGCCATGCAACAAAGAAATGAGCTCTCAAAGGACTTTGCAGGGAGCGTCAAGCAGGCCCAAAGCTCAAGTCCAGAGGACTTGGAAAGAATCCTTGACGAGATTGAGGAACATGACCAAGCAGATGCCATTGACAGGATGGTGGCTTCGTTGATGGCAATGAACGTTTCTACAAAGCAGATTCGTCTGCTGATGAAGGTTACTGGTAACCTCAGAGACATGTCGCGCTGGAGCAGGGGGGCCTTCTGTCTGACCGTCATATTCTTGCTCTTCCAGGTCCGACAGATGTACAGATACAGGATACCTGAAGCCGGCATGGTCATGGGATGGCTTCTGACGGTCTGTGCCGGCCTTCAGGCCATGCTTTGGCCAGTGATCTTCCTCAGACTGCCCGTCGAGTCAAAGGCCTTTGCGGAACGATGTGCGAAGCTTCTGCTGCTGCTGATTCCAGGCATGATTGGCCCGTGGTGGTTTGGGACCGTCTTCGACAACTACTTGGCACACAACACCTTCAGCGCGATCGCACACTTCTGCGTGATCCCCCTGTTTATCTTCATGGCGGCCAGCGGCCCATTGCGCGTCGCGTGCGTGCCGTTCATAGGTCCGGGCATCGTTCGCATGCTCTTCGGCAAAATTCCTTGCACCCGAAGAAGGCAGTCGCCGAGAATGGCTAAGCAAAAAGACGGTGACTAAATCGTTGAAGTCATCTTCTGATCTTTTCAGGGGGAGTGTAGCAGACTTTTGCGGACTGAACTTTGTGGGGCAGTTACGTGTCCCCGAAGATGCTCAGGCACAGGTTTCAAGAAGAGCAGTCCACAGCGTGGTGGTAAGAGGCACATCGCGCTGCGGCTTTTCTGTCTAACCTGGGCCTGTGGCCAAAGCTTTGCTTGAAGGTTCATGGGTAGTTGGAAGTGTGAGTATGGGAGAGACTTTCAAGACAAGCATTTTTTCTCACCCATTTAATATTTTCCAAGTTCATTTTCCAACCGAGGGCCCTCTGGCCGCAACTTCGCTGGCAGGGTTGCTAGAAGCATGGTGCAGCCCCACCCCCTCCCCCCCCCCCCCCCCCCCCCCCCATGCCTGTTTTAGCCCCTGCTTTGGCCGCCGCTTCCTGCTTCTGGCATGTCACGCCTGTCGACACACAGTTTGCTGTCTCAAACCCATGTGCTTCAAGCTCAGGCTGGAACCGTGTGGGCTCCCATCAAGGTTGACGAGGTGTGTCATCTGCTTTCTTCATCCTTCCCACAAGTTTGGGCTGCCAATCCCAGAGAAAGCAATTCCGAATTCCCAGCTCCACCAGCTCCACAGGACTTGATCCCCTCCTGGAAGCTGACGAATCTCGATCATTGCCGGCTCCCATTGGATTTCCACTTCCAGGCCGACTTCGCGCATGCCCGGCAGCCCAGGTGCCATCAGCCTTTCCCACTGAAGCGCTTTGAAACGCTGGTCTATGTGATCCGATCGTGAGGAGTTCGGTGAGGTGAAGACTGACTTAGCAGATGCAAGCGTCATCTGAGGTGTTCTGGATGGCAGCAAGCTCAGTGCTGGTGCTTGGGCTGTCGAAACCGGATCGACGTGTGGCAGCGCTGATGGTGCGCCTATGCACTAGGGATGGGGAGCAGAGACTTTCTCAGACTTCTCATGTATGTTGAAAACTCGAACCACGCTCAAGCATTCCACAGCATGCGCTCATGAGTGGAACACGGCCGCTCCATCTGACCATTGAAATAAGACGACCGCCGCGCTCGAAGATGCTGTGATGCAGGGCACGTCTGAGGCACAAGCTGAGACTCCGGCATGAAAGTCGCCAGGATTCGTGGCGTGCTGGATTGACCTGGATTGGATGTTTCGCGGTTGTTTGCCCCAAAAACCCCTGTTCGCAGGTTGACAACATCACAGCATCCTGGCTGCAGCGGCAGCTCCACTCACAGCCAAGGGTGCGCACCTTAACGGGCCGTCTCCACGTAATAGGAAAGAAACGCCCCCGTGCCCTCGGCAATATGATGCAATCTGTTCACATTGCTGAGATCCTTCACTGGCCGGGGTTGATGCGAAAGCCCTGGCAGAGACGCATGCCCGCGGCCCGCTCTGCATGGGATCAGGCTCGTTCTCAGGGTGCCTTGCAGGAATTTCGGGTCTGTACGTGCCCGTGTCTGTGCTCACCTGCTGCGCCGGCTGCGCCTGCTGCGCCTGATGCTCTGCCTGCTGCGTCTGCGGCTGCGCCGGTGAATTCTCCAGGCCTGGTGGAAGGCGCACGACGAGATGTGCCGGCGCAGCTCGGCGGTGTGTCGCATTGTCGGAGATGTGAAGCTTCACAAAACGGGCTCAATAGCATGCCCAGAGCGCAGCTGCAGGATTTCATCCCCTTGAGTCATTTTGACACCCGCCGAGGCATCACAGCAGATACAGCAGAGAAGTGTTCGGAGATGTTAGAACTTCTTTATCCCAGGGGGGCCATTGCATGAACTTTGAGTTGAGTAGCGATTGAGCACAGCGATTGACCTGCCCAAAAATCTATCCAAGACGCTTTGGCTCAAGAGAAGTGACCTCTCAAGACACTGGCTCTCAAATGCCTGCAGCATGCAGCACTCTTTGCTATACAACCACTCAGAGGAGCCCGATATAGCTCTTGGTGCACGAGCCTGGGATGCTGCTCATGTTGTTCATCAACAGCCCCACAGCACACAAACAGATTTGTAGCTTCAAGTGCACAAGAGTGGCGTGTATTGGCATCTCAGCTTTCACAAGTGGTGTCCACATGGTGGAAGCGCGATGCTCGAGCCCGAGGGCCTCTGTTCACTGGACTGCGTGCGAATGAAGGGGATAACTGGATTCTTTGTCCCACTTGCTCAGGATTCAAGTCTTCCGGTATGGAATCGACATCGCCAGGCAAAGAAAGCATAATCTGCGCAACTTTCACTCACGGCCAAAGTTGAAAAATCGCGCGAGTTGACAGTGCAAAATCTTGTAAGGCACCACCTGAAGGGCATCTATGTCGTCATGGTCGGCCAGATTCGCCGGTGGCCTCAACGTTGTTGACGATGTCGCTTCCGGGGCGTGCAGGTGTTTGGGGGAGCGCATCTTATCAACGACGGCAAATCGCCCTGTGGCTCCTTCAGAGAAGTAGTTGTAGGGTGGCTCTGAGATGGAACCCGAAGAGATTATATTTCGTCTTTTCCCCCATAACACCCCCGTAACCAACCTCTGCAGCCTTGTGGTTTCCCTTACAAGACAGAGCGCCACCCCCGGTCGACTGCCAAATCCAGTCCTTGACTGCCAGCCATGGCTTGACGATGCTTTGGGCTCCGGTGCTGCTGTCTCTCAGCCCATCCTTCGCATTGGCACGTCAGCTTCAATGTCTGCATACTGTTTAGTCGTTTTCTTCAGCCTGTAAGCCTCCGGGAGCATTCGGAAGCATCATTTTGGGAAGGTTAGCAAGATTGGGCCGAAGCTAGGGAGCTCATTTTGGTTTTATGGTAGCTAGTAGCTGCTTGAAGCACTCCTACACTCTCATCTGTAGTATATTATGAAGCACTTCTCGAATAGTTCTCGCATGCAGCATCCTCTGCGGCTCTATGGCAGAAGCGAACAGGTCTGAGGCGAGGGTTTGTTATGATAATACAACTATGTAGCATCAGAACAGCATAAATGTACGCTGTCCGGAGAGTTCCTGGAATATGTGTCTTCTGAGATTGCAGGTTCACGAAGGTTTCTAAGATTGTTCGCATGGGGCAGTTGGGTCCTGAAGAGCCATGCAAGAAAAAGATCAGCAGAAGAAGTCTTCGCAGTCTCTTCGCATCAGACAAGACAAGCAAGACCCAGACTTTGCGTCAGGTTCCTTTATGAGGGAGCCATTTGTTTAACCCATTTCTTGAAGCCTTCATTTTTGCGATTTTTTCTCGTGGTCTTCAAGGGAAGTATTTTTTTCGTGATTTTCGTCAGTGTTTCCAGCAGTATATGCTTAACTCCCCCTACATGTAGAGAGAAAAAAGCCTCTATCTATGGGGTCTCCGTTTTTTTCTAGAGTGGCCTCTATTTTTCGCTGTTGCCAGAAGCAAATGCTGTCCTGTTTCGAGCAGTAGCTCCGGGTGAGAAGTCCATGCCGGATGCTCAACAACCATGATTCAAGTGAACAGCTTGCTGTAACTTTCTCCCAAGAGTGTCAGTTTATTACTCACGTCTACCTTGTACATCCTTGTACTCGCAGTATTCCAGGTCTGCCAGACCTTTGGGCAGCTGCCTTGCGAACAGATGTGGGCTGGGCGCAGCGAGGTGCGCCAAGAAACACCAAGACTGAGCTGAGAGGAAGAGGTGTTCCCTTAGAACGTTGGCAGCATCACCACGCGTGGCACAGGCCCACCTACCTGCTCCGAAGCACGGCCGACAGCCCGAGCCTCTGCCAGCCGTGTTAGGATGTGGGATTCCCCTGCCTGTGAAAGCTTTCAAACCCGTCCGTTGAGCCCATTTGAGCCTTCCGGTATCCTGAGGATACAGTGTCTCATATGTTAACATGCATGTTTGTGACTGAGACTTCTCGACACCGCTTCGAGCTGGATGCCAAGGACCAAGTCCAGAATTTGAAAATTGAAGGGTTGTGTGCTAGACGAGGGCAATCTAGAGGGCAATCTCAACGAGTTGACAGGACCTGCACAACTTCTCGCTTTGGCAAGACTGGGTGCTGAAAACATCGGAGACGTGCGAGGGGCCGAACGTGACTTGTCCAAATGTAGGGCCAGCCTGAGAGTGGAGCTTTTTTGTAAGAACAGCCGCAACTCTCCTGCACCCTCAACACCGCTCTCTCTTCCCTCCTTGGCACAATTTCGCCCAGTTTGGCACTGCGTCTTTGCTGCCGGTGGTCAACGCCGCCTCACCAGAGGCCTCCAAGGTGTCCGTGTCTCCTGGCGCAAACAGCAGCTTTTCATAGGTGTGTGTGTGTGTGTGAGTGTGTGTGTGTGTGTGTGTCTGCAGGTGTAGGTGGAGCAGAGTGCATCGAGGGCCCTCCGTCGTGCGAGCAAGGATCATCAACGGCACCGTAAGCGCAGAGACTACTGCAGGCGCGGCCTGAAAGAATTGGTCTCCGTCCTGAACTGATACTACAGAGTACGACAGAGTGCTTAGCCCAACTTGAAAAGGTTTGCTTCTGCCATGGAGTCCGATTTGCTTTTGTGACAATATGCTACTACCCTTTGCTAGGAGAGGCGTGGAACTTCGCGAGGCAGTTTCTTACAGCAAGCTTGGTAACTTCATGTCGTTTTTGCCACACACGTGGTGACGCCTTTACTTGATGCTGCCAATTTTGCTTGACTGTCGGCCGGTTTGGTGCCTAGCCCGGTAGTCCTAGCTATGCAGACTTTGTTGGGAATTCGCCTGGCTATGGCATTCCAAGAACAGCAACCGTTGCTTAAGTTCTGGTTTTGTTGCCCGCAAGATGCGCTGCACCTCTTCGTCTGCGGACAACAGGGACACTGTGCAGCCGCTCTGCACTTCCGCTCCCTAGCGAAACTAGAGCATACAATATCCCATAAAGGCTCTGTAAGCTCTGGGGGTTTCAAATAGGCTTCTGACTTTCACGATGTTGGTCTTATAGGCTTCATAGGTCAGTGCTGCTGACTGCCTGAGCAAGGCTCCAGACGCGCAGCTCGCGTCAGTGACGTTCTGTACTTAATCTCGCCTCCGGACATCGCGAAAGGACTTCGAAAGCTGATGCTTGCCCGCACATCACGGAATCTCATGTAGCAAGTGCTGTGCAAGCGCGCCTTCACGGCCATTACTTTAGAGACTGCACGGAAATGGGGCATGTTGACGTAGAGCCTTTCCCGACAGAACGCCGTGCTGAGGCCTGATTCCATGTTGCTGCTTAACTGCGGTATTAAAGTCTCGGCTGCTCTTTCAGCTCTCAACTCAAGCGCCTCGCTTAACGAAGCTGAGGCTCCTTGTCGATGTCTTGCTGCTTGTGTCCTTGGTTTGCGTGCTTGGCATGGCCACTTGGGTTGAGCAAGAAAGCCAATGTTAGTCATTGTGCGCCGACCCAGCCGCCCTGATCAGATCCCCGCTTACCAGCATCAAGACAGAGATCTGATCTCAGAGCTGCAGGGCGTGTGGTTCGGATTGCTCCTACGCGAAAGCCTGGCCGGAAACAGCTGGCACGTGGCGTCTGAGCAGGACGTTCCTGGGTTGCGTTCAGGCAGCTCAAAGAGGCTTTTGGCAGGGCTTGATGGCGATGCCGGATGGACAAAGGGACAAAGGGACAAAGGGACAAAGGGACAAAGGGACACAGAGACAAAGGGACAACTTGGCAGTCTTATAGAGTTGAAGCCTCAGCTTTGTTCTCAGGTGAGTGATCCAAATCTCCGTCTCCCGAGCTCCATGGATCCTGGCCGTTCATCAGATGGTCTCGTGAGCTTGAGACAGGATCATGTATAGGTTGTGGACCGATCGAAAGCTGCTGCGCTGGGGATGTTCACTCAAGAGGTGCAAGAACGATCAGCAGTTGAGCCGAGGATGTGCTCCTGCAGGGTGGTATCGATGTACTATTCTTCGTACTGGGTTGCGCTCTCTTTGCATCCTGCTTGCAGAGAGGGATCCGTCCTCTGGAGTTCAAGGTGTGGACTCCTTCCGAGCTCCAGTTTGCAAGAAAGCAACGCAAACGCGAGGTTTTCGAAGGCGAACGGTTCTTCCGGAACCAGTACGAGGACCTCACTTGGCCCGCCGCTCACTGTTTGGAGTTTTTGGGTGTCAGCATGCGGATGGTCAGGCTGATGGGGCATCACGTGCCGGGCACGATCCAGACCTTTCCGGCCTCTTGCATTATCTGAAAGCTGTCGTACACAGGGCAGTTGGGAGAAACGCTGCTCGAAGTACACCGGTATGATGGTAACGTTAGCCGCAAGCGTGAGGCTTCCTTTTCGTGCTCGTCTTCCCCTTGCTCTTTGGATCTGTGGCGGCTTGGACCCGTACTCGAGAAATCGCGAGAAACAGAAGCGCAGCAAGAACGAAGACGGCAGACAGATAAACCTGAAGCAGCAATCTTTTCATTGTATGTTTTGCCCAGGCAGTCATGCGGATTTTCCTGGCCACAGCTCGGTGTCAGTTGTACTACGTCACTTGGAGCCTGAACAGTCACTTCACCTGCTCGGAGGGGGTAATGGCGAAACAGCCGTGAAGAACATGAACCGAGGCAGCGCTTCGCGACGGCATCCTGCTGAAATTCCAGCCCCTCCGACGCGTTAGGCTGCACAATGCTGCACATGTAGCTTCCGCTGCGGGTTCAAAGTGCTTCTGATAGTTGCAGACGTTGCTGCTGCCCAGGCATAAAACATCTTATTTCGAGCCAATGCTGCTGTGGGTCTACCTGGGGTTGGCAATCTGCATCGGCTGCATCCTCAGAAGATGTTAGTCCATGCAGCTGCCACTGGCAAAGCTTGCTTTGGAAGGCAAAGCCTTGCAGATCATGCTGATGGGAAGGTACTCCAGCGATGATGCTTGGCAGCAGGAAGCACCTCTTGTTTTGTCTGAGAATTTCTGAGCGTATTCTGCTGCCATTGGGCCATCTTGAGGGGCTGAAAGCACTGTTGGTGCTGATGTCTCCGTTGCCGCTTGACTGAAGCCAACATAAGCAACAGAAGAGCTCTGTCAGGCACTGTGCTCCTCGGTCTGCTATGGGCTTCTGCGAGGTACTACATGACGTCCTCCATTTTCGACATCCTCTACACAGAGTTTGCTGTGTGCAATCAACATTGCACAGTTGCATTGAAGGTTATTTCAGAGGCACCTTGGGCTGTTTTCAGTGGGGAATGTCCGGCAGGGCGGCCAGGGTTCGGCGTTATTCAGTGACCATGGCAGTAGCAGGATGCTGGGAATCCGTTGTGCCATTGACAGAAGCAGTTCGTCCTGAGACATGCAAGGAGCCTATTCAGATCGGAAGCGACATGGTGTGCATGTCCGATAGTGACCTGGTGCGAAGCAGAAGTTCGCATTCGGACTTGGGGGCGAGACGAGACGCAAACTCAGCACATAGGCAGCTCGAGCAGGCAGTGAACTGGCGCTCTGTGAGGTACATTCTGCGGCCTGGCGCGTCGCCGTGAAAAGATCACTCGTGAAAGTCGCCATTCTGCTGAAGGTGGAGACCCGCAGCGCTGACCGGGAAATGGCAGATTTGGAGTGCCGGTATGGACTGGTTTTGTCAAAGTTCGCAACTATCTAAGTGTCAGTCGTGCTCAGTTGGGCAGCAACTTGCGGAATGAGATGTCTTCTACAAAACTCCTTAAGTCCAACGTGAAGGTGAGGCATCTGATGGTTTCTGGGCGTTGGATCTCGCCTGGCTTGGCCGCCTGTTAGGCCAGCGTGCGCCACTGGGCTGTGCACGGTACACTTTTTTCTAGTTTCAGGGTTCCTTAGTAGGGTCCCCTTCCTGTTTTAAAGAGTTCTGAAGTATGGGCCCTTGGGTTTTTTTATGGGGTATCTAAAGGGTAGAATTAGGAGGGTTCCAACAGGGATGCACCAAGTGGGATCTGGGATGATCTAGGTACTGTACCCCGGTTTGCAAATTTTAGTGTCCTTTCGCCCGGGCCCAGGGTTCAGAGAGGGTGACTTACCAGGTCAGGTGCCAAGAAGCTGTTGCTGCTGCTCTTCGACCCGATGCAAGCCCTGACATTTCTTTGCCGCTCAGCTGAGCGTATGTGGCTCTTCACTGACCTGCTCATGTGTTGTCCTCTTCTTTCACAATCTCATAGACAATGCTGCTGAGTAGAGCCGTAGATTCTGCTTGGCTCTGCCTGTTCTTCGAACGCTTGGCTCCTACTGTAAGGCCTGCTGCGTGCCTTCAGTACAATCTTTGTCTTAGACCTCGGAAGCCCTCAGGTTTGGCTCTGCTCACCTGCTGGGTGGGATTGAAGATCCTGCGTGGGCCTTTCATGATCTTGCATTCTTGGCAACTGCTGGTTACGGTTTGCCAGAATTGTGGGAGTTGGAAGTTTTAAAGCTGCGTCTTGCCAAGCTGGAAGTTTACTAGCAGAAGAGCTCGAAGATCCTTCGGCTCGATCCCTTGTTTGTCAGTGCTCATAGGGACAAGGAGAGCTCGCAATTTGGGTCTAAGGCTTCACGAACCACGGCTGACAAATTTGCAGGTCATAGGAGGAGCCGCAGCCAAGACGTGTTTCTGAGTGTTCGTACGTGGCAATCCCTTGTAAGAACTGGGGGTATGTTGGATCCAGTTCAGCAAGGTGAGATTTTGGCAGGTCTTGGCTACATGCAGTTTTGAGGTGCTAAAGTGGAATGATAGATCTGTCGGCTCTGTGCAATCAGCGTGAAGTGGTATTCCCAAAGCGTCTTCTCTGCATGCTGTCTACTAGTTGCAGGAGCGATTTCGAGCCCGTTTGCAGGGCACGTGAGAGCCGCTTGATCATGCAAAAAGCTCTGTTCACTTGAGCACTCTTTGTTAGGATGGTCACCTAGACATGATGCTCGAATGCTTTGTCAGGCTTGTCAACTGAGGACTACAATATCTTGGTTGACCGAGTGCAGACGATGGTTTCTGTCTCAGCGCAGGCCAGCAGCATGGATCGGACATCTAGACTCGGATTTCGGGCTGGTTGCTGCAAACTGCTTGGCCGACATTCGGCAAAAGTGGTGAAGCCTCGTTGACGTTGTCAGGCAGAAGGTTGAGAGGGAGCACCGCATGAAAAGTACTATCCGCAGCAAAAGAACCATATGAAGAAGTACAGGAAGACTCAATCAACAAGAACCGAAGGAAGAGAAGGGCAGAGGCACTCAGAGCAGCATTCATGAGTTTTGCAAGGGGTTTCTTTTCTTTCGAAGAGCCCTGCCGTGAGCCAGTTCAGAGCATGCGCGAGGCAAACCCGAAAGACGTCACCGAGCTGACCATGCAACCTGGCGCTACGAAAGAGCAGTGTTTAGATCTCGTGCCCGAATCGTGTGCCCTCTTTTTCGTCATATCGTCGAGAACTGTACAACAAACTGCAAGCTTTTTAGGACGAGAGGGTGCTGGCTGTTCACGGCGCATCGCTCTTCCAGTCCCAGGAAGTGCCTGCAAGCCCTGCAAAGTACTGGAAAGGTCTCCTCCAGGCACCTTTTCTGTGGGCATCTCCCTAATCCAGGTCTCAGACCAAGTCTGTCAGAAATTCGGGTGGGGTGTGGCGCATAGTTCAGCTCGGCACTCAGGAGAGACTCCTCGGAGTCGGATGTGCAGTGGACCTGGGGTGGCAGCATCGCGAAGGCGGTCACTTTAGACAAGGCCGCAATCGTATCCATGGTTAAACGTGTTTAAACCACGTCCGCAAACGATTTCGCACAGCAGAAGCTGTGAGCAACCCATTCCCGAACTCAAACAGAAGAAGCATGGCCGGCGAGTTCACGGCGGCAAGGTGTTGGGGATGTGCTTTGTGGGGGTTTCTCTGGGCTGCTGGGTTTATGGGATGCAATACAGATTTATATAGGGCTTTTGCGGGTACTAATGCGAGATGTAAGTGCGTGAGAAGTCAGGATTTAGGGCTTAAGGCTTTGGCTGATCTTTGACATTCCTTGGTGGGCATGGTGAAACGCAAGTGCCTTTCCAAACTGCCTACCCTGCGGTCGCATGTTTCCGCAAGGCTCTATTTTTTGAAGGTATTGCTTTGCTCACTACATTGACCAGGGAAAAAAGCCCAAGTAAACCAGAGTTGCCAGACCAACATTATTAATGAGTGGCCAGGACCATTATCCCTATAATCTCCAGATCGACGTTTGGGATACAACTGCACACAACTCCTATGCGGTGCAGATCCTGAAGTCAGGCTTCTGATCAGCATGTACGCTTTGCTGTGATCTGCTCTCTCTCTCTCTCTCTCTCCCAGTACTTTCTCAGACTGCATCTGCTGTTTCTCGGTGCAGACTCTGCAAGGCTTTCTGCCGGAGTCTGTGACTGTGACTGGCAGAACTTCCTCTGGGAAAACTTTTCACCGATGCGTTCCCTGGGGATTTCTGTGGTTGCGTCGCTGGGCAGCGTTGTGTTGAGTCTCAATGCCCCGGCAGGTAATCAGTGGCATTGGGGGATATTGGGGGATATTGGGGGCTGATATCCCTGCTGCTAGCTAGAGAAGCTGTACATGTACTATATATTTCTAGTAAGCTTAAATGAAATATACAACTTTTCATAGCATGAATACACTACATATATATGTATATATACATATATATATATATATATATATATATATCCAATGTTGACCTTAGCTCACCTTGGTCCTGTTAGCCGTTGATTAGTTGCATCCATGAGCCTGAGCTTCAACAGTTCAAAAGTTCAGTCGAGGTCCCTGGATCAACATTCCGAGCGAAGTTCGTTCCGTGGAGATGAGTATATCGATCCGTTGGCTGCACTGCTGTATACCGTTGTACAAAGGCACTTTTCGCGATGTCCAGCTTTCGAAATAGTTATAGCTGCTGGCTGCTAGCTGCTGCGGAGGATGGCGCATTTCGTGATGGGCATACCAGAGAACTCCCGGCGTGCTGGCCGCTTCACCACCCATTTCTATCCCAACCTGACTGAGCAGGCTTTGCCATGGGAGCTTCAGAAAAAACTAGAGGACAGACTCAGCCCTGAAAGGAGTGTGACAAGCAGCACTCCTTGATGCCGTGGTGCGCTGCCCCGGCCTGAAAAATGGCTCCAGTCTCCAGTAGTCGACTAGTCGATCTCTGAAAGGGCAAACCGCAGCCGCAGCCGAGGTCGCTCAAGCCACGGATAACGGCTGCTTCGTGGTTCAGCAGCCCCTTTGGGACAACTGCTACATGGCTGAAGCGTAAGGTAGGCAAAAAAAACAAAAACACGTTGTCTCGCTTCGACGGATTGCAGTGACCCACCTGGCCCATACTCCGGCCTTGATCTGCATAGCAAGGCCTGTTTTAGTGCGGTGAGCTGAACCGAACTACTCATAGAGGATCATCGTGGCACCCAGTGGAACTACTACTATAGCTCAACATACCCGAAGAGGCGTATCCCCATGGAAGCCCCTCTCATTTTGGAGCAACATCTGAGGTGGCCAAGCTGGCCAGGAGGAGGCTCGCCACTTCCTCCGCGTCCGATCCTCCACGCCCGGACCTTTGCCTCTGCAAACCTGCTCATGTCAGCATGTGCCTTATTGGGGTCCTTATTGTAAGGGGATCCTACCATTTGGAGATCCATTATAGGGGTTCCATATTTTCGTGCCACCATGAGGCTTTCCGCCGAGCTTTGCCTCTTGGACAGCATGGCAAATTTGCCCCCTGCAAAGTACCAATGAGCCAGAAATGTGGTCTGCTGAAGCATCCAAAAGCATTCAGAATTGACGAGCTTGAGGCTCCGACCAGGAACATCAGTGCCGCATTGTTGAAGCTGCCGAAGACCCTGTGTTGAGCTTCGACAACATCTCGCGACTTGCCCATGCAACCCCTGCCTCTGGTCATAGCTTATCATCGGGACGCCTCCGCCAAGAGCTTCGAAAGTCAAGCTGTGCGTTTCTTCGTCCTGATGGCAGGTGAGGTTTTGGATCATTTGGAGCCTTCGAAGCTGAAATCCTGAGGATTGCTAAAACTACGGACGATGCAGAGGAGTACTCAGTCCCAAGACAGCACTTAAAGCGACCCACACTGCTGCCCCATGCCTGAAAGAAACGGTGAAATTCAGGTGAAGCTCTCTGTCAAGAAGGGCAGCAGCGTCCTGCCCATCGTGTCATGGATGAATGTGCCATGTCTTCGCCACTTCTCTGCGTTCTGACAAATTTTTCAGGTGGATGCGACCAACTTCTACCGCGTCGTGGATCTTCGCCTGATTCCGGGTCCTCCTCGTGCGCTCTTGGGACTGCAGAATAGGAAGGGAAAGAACTTTGAAAGAACATTGTGTCGAAGCAAAACGTTTGCAATTTTGCCTCTGCTCTAAACAAGCTGCAGTGAAAGTGTATAAGGCAACAGGTGGTACACTTCCTCGAAGGATTGGAGCGCTGCCGCAACCCGTGTGTTTTTCTTTGCTGTCGTGGCGTTCACACCGCTACCGCAGCAACAACATCGCATTCGAAAAGCCAAATCAACAACCCCTATCCAGCCACACCCAAAAAACTGAGCTTTTGGCATGGTTGAGCCATCTTGGATGATTTATTCCCGTGCCCCTTGTACACCGTTCCCGCGAGAAGGGAGAAGCATCTTGAAACTACTTCACCATTTCTCACCTCCTCTCTGTACGCAGCACTTGTTGCTTGCAGTCCACTGAGCGCAAAAACCTCCCCACTCCACGCCAACGTGCCAGACCAAAGCCATCCCCCGAATACTGCTATGGATGCATGCTGACATAGCCTGATACATACTGATACGATCACTGCGACACCCAGCAGTTCCCAGGTCAGGACTGCTACACTTCCACCTGTCAGCGCAAAACGTGACGACGTCTGGGGTCCAGTATTCGTCACATGGGCACCGATGGATGGCGACAATATGGGAGCCTCAGCTTCAGAGATGGTTCTTGATGTGCTATGCATCAAACTTAGCTTTGAGTTTCAGCTTCAGAAACCTTCATGACGGCTGCAGTCCGAACTCTCAGCAAGGACAGCGCTGCTTTCAAGACCGAGCAAACAATGCTTCCTGGCAGCAGTCACAGGACGTGATGAGGATAATGAGGCAGCACCAATTTTCGTAGCACGAGAAATTTGAGAACCAGGGTCGAAGGAAGGGCAGGTGCCCGCCACTCGGATAATCCTCGAGCTGAGGAAGATCACCGCTGTTTCCTTCGACGTCGACTGTGTGCTCGAGAGCTTTCAGGCCTTGTGCAGATCACCTGCATGCTCTGCTTGTGTTGTCCCCACGAGGTTTGTGGAGGTCTCGAAGAGTTGTATTCAGTGCATCTTATGGCTTGTGGCCCAGGCACAGGTCCTTGATGGGCTCAGGCTGCTGGAGCATTGCACGCGCTTACCCTCAAACGAGCCTGACATCACAAGAGCCTAGTGGCTCCCAAAAACCTTAGTCTTGAGGACTTGTGGCCATGGCCGTCTACAGCGCTCCGAGCGACACCCCAGAGCTCCAAACATCTTGAAACTGTCGAACTCCCGGATGCCCAAATTCTTTTAACCAGCTCCCACATTCTCTACCCTTTGCCTTTCGAACGGTCTTTTCGACGAGTCTATCTTCAAGGCCGGCTCTTTCTCCGACTTGTGTTGAGGTGTTCGCACCGGAAGGCGTTGTGCCGCTGAAGGCTGGAAGTGCTTCGTAGACGGGGTGGCGTCTCTGCAATCCGTGGAGTCATTGCTATCGGAGCTTCTTTTGGACTCTGGCTGTTGAGCATAGGAGGGTGAGTCGGTCAGCCTGACACTTTGGCTTGGAGATGTTTAGCAGGTGCCGATGCAAGCTACTTGTAAGACTAACACCTTCTTCGTGGCAGTGTATTGGTCTACTGTCTTGGTCAACAATGCGTTAGTTTGGGGGTGGTGAGGTGGGCGGGAGGGGGGGGGGGTGGAACACTGGCGTGCGTCTTCTGGGCCAACGACCCAGAATCCCGTTGAAAGCTGCCACCGGCTGCTACTGGGGGTAGCCAGGGCCACTGCATCAACGGCGCCAAAAGCTGACGACCATAGTTTGGAGCATCGAAGCCTGTAACACTGTACACAAACATCAACAAGCCAGTATTCACAAGCGTTGATTTCAAAACTGTGCAATGTCACATCACGGGATCAGGATGTTCAGCGATCGGGTGGACGCTGTCAGGTCGTAAGATTTGGAGAGCCCACGCCTTTGTAGTCACATTGTAGCCGCACCTGCGAGACCTTCGCCAATGAGATACTTTCTTCTTTGTTTGGGTGATTACGTTCGCAGACTAGCCACGTGAAGCTCTCACAACAGGGTCGTTCTATGAGCCAGTGCACTTTTGAAGGTCGTTCAGCCCGACTCCATCGTGTGCCGTGGTCTCCCGGCGAGCAAGACAGAGGTTGCCGTCACACGCCCTAAAACGTTGTGTCAATAGTTGAAGGCCAAGGTTCAGCTCAACTTCATGTCTGGAGTCTGCAAGTCTGCGACAGTGTAGAACATAAGATTAGTCAATCTTACACACTGTGGTCGTGCCTGCTGTCACCAGGAACCTTTCCAGTTCCTTCTTTTCCTTCCTGCATTCTGCCATGTCTCAATCGATGGCCGTTCCGCCGTCTCGGGGCTGCTAGGAAGGGCCCTCATGGGATGGTTGGGTCGTGCTGGGTTTGGGGATCGTGCTCATGTTCGCAGTTTCAAATCGTTGCAGTTGTGACGCTTCGCTCCTTGTCACCATGTCAAAAGCGCTACGTCGCGCGCTTTTGTGGCATTTTGTTTGAGTTCATTTCCTGACCCGAGATACGCCGATGGCAGAGGGGTGTGCTGATGGCAACGGCTTCCTGCCAACTCGGCTTCCGGGCTTCAAGTTGGCTTCAGGTAGCATCGCAAGATAGGCGTGGGGAAATGCAAGAGGTGCGCGGCATAGCAAAGATCATCTCGACCACTTCTTGAAAGACCGAACTTGGAAGTGCCATGACTTGGCAAGGGCCTTCGAGATCGACCTGAATCTCGTGCGCAATCTCATTGTCTTCAAGGGTGTCTACACTGACAGCGTGCTCCACTTTTCAGGCGAGGATAGTCAAAAAGGGTGTCGCCGCTCGCAGGGCACACTGACGCTGATGCTGCCGCCTTTGAGCAACTATCCACGCAGTCATGGCATCTAGAACAGGTTGAAGCCCTGAACAGTTTATGAGCACACTGCAACGCGCTACAAGAAGTTGACCGGGCAGGTGTGAAGCGTTGTCGCGCTTTCGAGGGCTTCTACGGCGAATACGAGACTGCAGCCGGCCAGCAAAGGGTCTCAGAGCTGGGTCAGGCAGTCCAACCTGAGAGTACTGCAGACGTAAGGGGGGGGTGGGCGGTCACTAGCTTCAGAGATCGAACTTGAGCAAAAAGTGACCAAAGTGTGCTGGGCTTCGAGGTACAGATGAACTTTGAGCACGTGACGCAGACTCATATGGCGCCGGCCCCAGATCCGAAGGAATTCCACAATCTTTCACACGTTTCGGAAGCAACAGTCTGACCAGTGACCACCGAGCCGAACTTCCTGTGCAAACATGTCTCATCATGTGTCAAGACTACGCCAGCTCTTCCGATTTAGTTTGCCTGGAGGATCTCCTTGTCCACGCCTCCGACGGCTCGATAGAAACCACTGGCCACCAATGCGAGAATGTGGGCCAACACAGCTTGCGTTGTGCTGCAGCCTGGCTTGCTCAGTGAGTGTTTTGCAGTTTGGAGGCCCTCTATACTGGTAGCTGATTTTGGAGCTGCTATGCTGGTGGTGTAGAGCAGCAAAGGTGCACGTCGAGGGACGTGGACGCCTGGAAGCAAACGGGAAGTCATGTTGTCCGAGTTGAAGAGAGTCGCGTCGTGTCGCAAGACATGCCAGCAATGGACAACAAGTGAGCAAAGAGTCCAGAACCGTTTGTTGTACATCGCCAGATTTCCACGCTCTTGGGGCCGAAGAGATCAGCTGCATAAGCTTATGGCTTAAGCGATCTCGAATCGTATCCTTGAGCGGGTTGAATACAAGGGAAGTTAGAGCTCGTAAGCCCAAGAGCAGGTTGCAGACTTTGCACTCCAAGCCCCGAGTTCGTGAACCCTCAATGTCTCAACCCACCCTCAGACTCAACTTTGTAAGGACTGGGCAATGCGAACTTGATGAGAAGATCCCCGGCAGGAAGGGCTCAAGACCATCGGAGCTGTTGTCTTGGTTCGCGTCATATGAGTCAACACACACATATATCTAGAGTAAAATTTTATGCATATAAGAGAAAATGTATATTCCCCAAACACGGTCAACACTATGTATCGCCATGTTATGAGTCGTGCGCGAAGTCTGCCCGGGCCCGGTTCCGCGGCTCTTGAGCATTGCGCCCTCAAAGTCGCGCCTTTTCTTCCAAGGCCTCGGGGCCTCGGACCGAGCTCCCACAATCCCGCTCGCGCTCCGCGCGAAGTGTCGCAAGTATGCTCTTGAGCATGCGGTAGTTTTGTTGAAGAAGAGACTGCTGAAGAAGAGTTCGTTTCTACGAAGGAATGTAAAACAATGGCGGGCGGAGTGCAGGAATCAAAGCCACTCCGGGGGTCGCTCTCCCCTCCCTCAGTTTCAAGATGCTTTTGCCCCAGAATTTGGTGTGCGCAGGACCATGTAAGTCCCCGGTTGGGTACACGGATTCTGTGTAAGTTTTATATCCCGCACAGAACCGGAGACAGCACTTCGGGATTCTCTGCAAGATTCTCTAAGGGTGGCCACTGCGGGCTGCTGTGCGGGCTTCTCTGGGGAGCACTCCAGGGTAGGGCGGGACGGGTAGGGTTTCTGCAGGGTTCTCTGAGGGGGCAACCAGGGGTTCTCTTAAACGAATTGGGGGTGGGGGCTCCAGGAGAGCGAGCCACGAAATGAGACGACGTTTCCTGGGGGCGCTGTTCCCCAGAACTGGGCCTTCGCTTTAGGGCTCAGGGTTCGTCCTTGGCCTGTGGCTTCGGGCTCAGGAATCGTTTGCGAAGTTGAATTTGCTCGGGAGGCTTGAGTGAGCACTCGATGGGATGGGAGACCCATGCCAGGGGACCAGAGAATGCGCGAAGAAAAGGGCTGCCTTAAAACCTAGCAAACCAGCGCTGGGGGGTGGGGAAGAAAGAGGAATCAAGACAAACGCAAGCTGTTCATGAATGGTTTCGAAGGAAAGAATTACGCCACGAATGATGGGCTTTATGAACGGTTGGGTCCGTCGCCGAGAATGTATCATCAATTCCGGTCGTTTTTGACTTCTGACAGAGGCAATGCGGGAGCATGGGTCTGGAAACCTACATATCCATGTTGCGTGAAGTGTTGAAGACTTCGGATGGGCATTGCGTTGCAGAGCTTGGTACACCAAGGAGTGAATCTGACCACGATCTTCGCCGAGCCGAACTGCTCCGTTCGGTGGACTGCGGCGTGGGACCTGCAGGGCATGCATCGTTTGGGATTCGGAGTTTGCCCTGCCACTGGGCTCCCGGCTTAGGGAAGACTGTTTTCGAAGCTTGAAGTGGCATCTTCAGCTCTGCTTGGCCTGAACCCTCATGCGCTGAGTTTCCTACTAGGGGTTTAAGTTCTCGGCATGGGTGGGAAGTTCTCGGCATGGGCAGTAGGCTTCCAGTAGGATGCAGCATATCCGGACCTGGAGGGCCTCGTGGACTCCGCGGCTCCTTGTTGCAAAGGTTTGGGGGGGCATTTGTCGCGACTTGAGAAGGAGCAGTCTTTGCCCAAACCGTTTGCGGGGTTTTTGAAGGCTTCAGCGTTCCTCAGCCTATGCCATTCACCTTTACTTCACCTCATGCCATGCCGAGTTCCCAGTGGTCCCCATCGACCCGGCTGACTGCAGCCAGTACGATCTCCTGGCCGGCACTACGGCAACCAGGACAAATTAAAGTGGGCAACTACTTCTACGGAACTCGTTTTCATTCACGTGAGGTCACTGCCTACGCACTTGTAACATGATGGCTAGTATGGCCTTGCGATCCAAGTCCGTCGTATGGTCAGCATGGGTCTCTGCCCAGACATGTTGCGACCTTTGCAAGGCTTGCGGTGGTTGGCGGCCGTCTGCAACCACCAGCCTGGACCTGGCTCCTGCAAATGGCGCGATTGAAGAGGCTCCGGATGCCTTTGGCCAGCAAGTTCAGACATGCAGAGCATCCTCAATTTTCAGGCGAATGAAGCGTCTTTCATCAGGATATCCATGTAATTAGTGCGCTTCGCTCATGCCCTCAAGTACTGCGCTCGGGTTAAAAGGAAGCCTTGAGTGTTGACTTCAGCTCAGAGCTCAGGTCAGTCTCACAACGGCGCAGGCCCTAGATTCCTTAGCGAGACCAAAGCCTGTAGCCTATGTCCCCTATGGATGCTTCATGATGCCTCCAGGGAGAGCCTCTCCGTTCCTCTGAGGTGCAGGGCTACGTTCAATGCCATACCTTCATCGATGCCATGTTGCAGGCCTGAGACAACTCATGGAGCAACCACAAACACGGAGCTAGTTGCTGCGATGGCTTGAAACTCGTCAAGAGAGAAAGTAGACTCTTTCGGCTTTCTCTCCGTGAAGGTTGGCACAATCCCTGTTGTAAGCTGCATGAAGTCGAGATGTCTGGCGACAGCCAGAATTAGCGTCACCTTAAACCTGAAGATGCCGCAGGTCAACATTGCAGCTACCGGTGGCCCTCCTCTGCCTCCTCCTCCTCCGACATGACGCGCTTCAGCTGTGTAGGCTTACACGCTCGCAGTGGGCTCAAGGCCCACGAGGCCCATGCCACTTGCAGCTGAGCTTGGCAAATGCACGCCGGGCAGCTCCTCTCTGAGGCACGTAGCTCTGAAGTTGCAAGGATGGGTGCAGAAAACTGACCGAGTTGACTCGAAGCACCTATTTGAGATTTCTTTTCGTTTTCTAGATCATTATGATCTCCATCCGTCCTTGTGGTTCCCTGCTTCTCACAAGGGAATCCATTAGAATCTATCCTGGCTACAAGACAGAACCGTGAAACCTGAGACCGGCAGCCGTGTCATTGATTTCGACAGCGCATTGTTCTATGTTGACGTAAGGGAGCTCAAATGGAAGACCTCACGCATTCGGCGTATGCTTGCTGAGGAAAGCCCTCCTTGGACAACGAGGCAGGTTGACGACGTTTTGTGATAGGCCGTTGTGGCTCGATGCCCAATGCACCGTGGTCTAGACCTTGGCATGATGTTCATCGTTGAAAGCCCCTACAGCCTAATCCCCCAAATCTCTCAAAACCCTCCAAACCCTCCAAACCCTCAAAACCCTCAACCCTAAAGTCCCAAAAAGGCCAAGCACTCGCCCAATGCTGCCAGGAGCGATCCTCGCCTTCCACGAGCAGGCAAGCGCAGGCCAGCCGGTGATATGGGCTTTAGAAAGCGAGTGGAGAGGAGGTGTGGAGACATGGAGAGCTGTTCATGTCAGGTAATCTGCACGCTTCGGGAGGGACCTGTGGAGGAATGCGAGGCCCGTGGAGTGCTGAGGTTTCTTCGAGGGTGTTTGTATTTGTGGTGGTGACGACGAAAGTGAAGTAGTGCGGGCTTAGAAGCAAGAGCCTGGTGGTGGCTTTCCGTCACCATCAGGGGGTCGATGTCTCTGCTCTCTGCGTGTAGGAAACATGAAGCTTACCACGGCTTTTGGCTCGGTTGCAAGACGCCGCACGAAGAAAACACGTGTGACTGTTTCCGCCTTTCATGACCGGTAATCTCAAGTCACTTCAAGTGGCTCCCTTGAAGGACTGGAACGACTCTGGTGATGGGAAGGTGTGGCCCGCACATATCACGTGGTGAGACTTGGTAGGACTTCGCCTTTCGCGACACTCAGGTCTTCTACAGCTCTTTAGCACTCCATCAGTTGATCTGAAAGACCGCCTGCTCACCAGGCGCCAAATGGCAGTCCCAAGAACTGTGGGCAGCCCAGCACGCGGATTTCCACCTTCTTAAGACAGTGACGAACTTTCGCTCACCACGCCTCCACTCTCTCTCGGTCTCTCTCTCTCTCTCTCTCTCGCTCTCGCTCTCTCTCTCGCTCTCTCTCTCTCTCTCTCTCTCTCTCTGGCTCTCGGTGAATGCGCAAGTAGACTTCGAATCATACATGCTCTGCCATCGGATCCCTTCTCAGGCCCAATTACGTTAACATACCGTGGTCAAAAGACGACGCTACGTCCATGGGATCCTTCTCGATGTCCTAGCCTAAGCTTGGCAGTTTTCGTCACGCAGCATTCAGCTGTCGGCTTCAGCATCTGATTGCTGCATCTTACGTGACCGAGGCCCTTTAGCAGCTGCCATACACAACCAGCTTATTCATTTTCCCATACGGCTGCGGCCCTAATTGGACCTCCGTTGATCGGTGTTGGACCAGTGACGTGAGAGCTTCTGTGAGACGGTACGCTGAGAAGTAGCCCGAAGAGGTAGTCCAAAATGGCACCCGCACGGAGGCCCAAGAGCAACGTTTTTGTCATCCACTGCTCCTTGCAGAGCTTGAGCCACATATCGGACTCCGTGGGAAGGGCGGGCCGTGAAGTGCATCCCTGGATTGGTGCAAGCTTCCAACCATCGTTTGAGGACACTTTGGGACCGCTTGGACGTGTGATCGGCGTGTGCAGCCGAGATCCGCAGAAGCGACATGGCCGCAAGATGCACCTGTGCGACTGTGACAAATCACAGCATAGCGCAACACGTGGCTATCTCGCTCATTGAAGCCTAGGCAACCAAAGCCGGAGACGGTCCATCGTTTTTTGATAAGGTGCGCTGCGGGCCCTTGCTCTGTGGCGAGCAAGTTTAGCAGATCCCAGCAGATTGCACATGGACGTCAGCGCACCAAAAGCTGTGCTCAATGTGGATGGGCTTGCGCCAGGCACCCCAACACTACCCTGATTTTCGAAGATGTTGAAGCAGCTGTCTCAGAGTGGGAGCCAGCAAGTGGCCTTTCTCTGTTGAGCTATTGAGCAACTGAAATTGGGGCTATGCAAGTTCAACATGTAGCTCGGACTGCAACGACCGCGGTGATGAAATGATTTGGCGCTGAGGAAGCGACTTTGGAACGTTACGAACGGCTTCTCAGTCTTCCCGATGACAGTAGGCCATGCTGCCCTCCTCAATGTGACGTAGACGGAGCATGAACGAGTCTATGATGAGAGCATTGCAGGATTCAGCGGGACATGCGGGGCGGTCCCCTGATCTTCCGGCATAAGTTTTTCACTAACCCAGAACGTGAGATAAGTACCTTACGTGCATTGAGCAAAGCATGTGAAGCCCCGCACATACAAAGATAGACAGCAGCACAGCCTTCCGAAAATGTCTCATTATTGTTCAACATGACCCGTTCGGGCAGGTATGCCTTTCTCATGGCACTGCACCCCCGGTTAGGGGAGAACAGTCCAGCAAGGCAGGCTCGGATCTTCTGACATCGGTCTTGTAGTTGCAACGTCAAGAGGAGTTATCACGGGTCGCTAGCGGCGTGAGCTCCTGTCTCTTGTGTGTGTTTGTGTCCTAACTATGTCTGGAGATTCCGAAGGTGGCGCAGTGCAGATCCACTGCGCGCACGCGTGTACGCATGCGTGCGCTCCCCAGCTCTTCGTATTTTCCCACTTCCCGACCCCCTGCAGAGGCTCCTGAAAGAGGATGGCCCGAAGCTTTGCAAGCTCATCTTCGACTTCCTAGTGCGAATCCGACCTGATTCCAGCTTGCGGATACAAGCTGCGCACATTGTTGGGCTGTTTTGTTGGGATTTAGGGCTTAAGATTTCGCAGGGAAGATTCTGCGAGGAGGTCTTTTCTGTCTGAGCTGAGACTGGTTGAGATTTCTCAGGAGATTCGAGGGTCATGAGCGACAACGAGAGCGGGTTCAAGGTGCAATATATTGACTCAGGAAGGACAGCATGTCTTCGGATGTGCAACATTGCCAGCAAAACCAACATAGTGTCGCTGAATTCTTGTAGCACTTGCTGCAATCTTGTAGCACTTGCTAGCACTTGGTCTTTCTGCAAAGCTGCACCACGCGATGGATCCTCCTGGCCGGGCGAAGGGCAGCGTCGGACGGCAGAAGCGGTCCCGATCTGAAATGCCCAGCTTCTTGCAGGAGGCTGTCTGGAAGGTTGTGGACGACCAGAGAACGATGCCAAACGGAGCAGCCGTGCCGGCAAAACCGCAGCAGCCGCTGCGACCAGAACCGGTTGAGCAGGTAGACCCGGAGAAGCAGCACAACCCTGATCTCGTAGCACACATGGAGAATCGCCGGCAGTCGGACGCGGAGATCCGAGAAATGGTGAGACTGCTGTCAGAAATATCACCTACAGTCGACGAGATTCAGCAGGAGAAGAGGTTAAAGGCCGATGCAGCTGCCGCGGAAGATGAGGTTCAGGAAGAGGATGTGCATGAAGGGCATGAAGGAGAGGAGGAGGAGGTAGTGGAGGACGAGGAGGTGGAAGATGACATCGTGGCCGATCAGAAGCAGGAATGGAATGCCAAAGAGATCCGGACATTGGACTGAGGCGACTCTCAGGAATCGACGCTGCAGCTCTCGGCCTTTCCCTCGTTCTTTCCCAGACTCTAGAGGGCAGTTTCGCGAGCTTCGTGTTGGGACAGCAAGCCCGGTGGCAAGGTCTGTGATTCGTCCCCTGACTCGGAGGAGGCGGCCACATGATCAACATGATCCCTGCCGGGGAATCCTTCATGTCCGGCGCTGCTACATGCTGCTGCCCGTGAGCGACGCACAACTTCAGATGCTCAGTTCTATTTGACCATAGTGGCGACGGTGCTTCCCAGAGCCTTCAGCGAAGAAGGGGTTGCAACAGGTTTGGTCCAGAACTGCGCTAAGAGTGACCATGCCAGTTCTCGTCAGGGCTGCAGAGACTATGACGTAAGGAAATGCTCAGCAGAAAAAAGCAGCATTGAGACATGTCAAGGGGAGGGCAGATTCGCAGCAGCTGCGAGCATGCCGAATGCACAGCGAATACTGTTCATCATATCGCAAGAGACGGTTCAGGGCGCACAATTGGGATAGGCTTGGAAATCAAAGCAAGAAAATGCATAGAAAGATGTCTTGCAAAGGTATCGACTCATTCTGGTCCGTGTTGGCTCCCCGAGTGTTAGTGACTGTTTGTGACTGTTTGCAATTGTCAGTGCAGCGTTTTCCCCTCCGAGAGTGCCTGAAGACTTGAGATTCACTTGAGACCATGCCAAAATGTCCGAGCTCGGTGAATAGCACATGGGCCCTTGCGATTTAATCCAGTCTCCAAGAATTTCTGCAGCACTGCGTGAGCCTGGTGCGAGCTGGACCTACAGCAAATTGACAGGTGCACCACGCCTGCACACATCAAGAGCTCCTTGGCTACACTCAGTTATACGGCTGGATGCCGCCGCTGCTGCCGCTGCTGCTGCTGCCGCTGCTGCCGCTGCTGCTGCTGCTGCCACAGCTGCTTCTGCCGCCGCTGCTGCTGCCTCTGCTGCCGCTGCTGCTTCTGCCGCTGCTGCTGCTGCCTCTGCTGCCACAGGGAATCAGCAGCCTCGGCTTTGTTTGGGACGGGGGCTTGTGCCGGACCCTCCCATCATTGGGTGGCGATTCTCTTGCTGCTCTCCCGGGAAAAGACGGGGTTTGTTGGGGGAAAGGTTGGGAAAGGGGAGCGACTGCGGCCGATTCAGAGGCGAATCTACTTGACATTTCCCAGAATCAGTCCCCAGGCCTTGTCCTGTGGCCTTGGACCGGAGACGGCAAGGACAAAGACTCTGGCGAGGCCGGCTTTGAGCAGGATGTCCCCGTGACACTCGCGACTTTCTTCCCCTTGCCTGCAGGACACACAGGAGTTTGACAAGGCCCCTCTTCCAAGGGCAAAGTTGCGAGTTGAGGTTTCGCCATTCTTATCCCTTCCGAAGCCCAGCTGCATGTCTGGGGTTGAAAAGTGGGGCCGGATGGATATGAACCTATTGTGTCTTGTTGCCAGGTACCACGACACGTCCAGGAGATTGTAGGGGCCCTAGTACTGCGTAAAAAGCAGGGTTCTGCAATGCGCGCAAGAATCTGTCCGCGATGGCAAGTGTGGAGTTCTGAGGTGATTAATCACACCGACATCCTCCAACGATGGAGGCATGCTACGCTTCAAATTGACCGCTTTCCGACTTCTTTGCATAACGGACGATCTCGCGAGCATGCCAGGAGACCTCGCAAGAGCGGTGAGAAGAAACACTCCGAGGCGCAGAGCCGGGACTGAAGACGCATAGAAACGAAAAAACTGAAGGATGCAGAAGGGTGCACGCTCCAACTGTGGCATTCGCGTCGTTTTGCAAGCGATCCCACAATGCCCCTTTTTGCCAGGGCGAGAATTCCGACAGCCATGAGAGGCCGGGAGATGCCGGGAGTGATGTGCCCATCTTGGATGCTTAAGACTTAAGATGCTTAAGATGCTTAAGATGCCAAAGATGCTCAAGATGCCAAAGATGCTTAAGATGCTTAGGATGCTTTATCCTGGCAGAGCAAGCCCTCGGACGCTTAAATCGCACTCGTTGCAGATTGAACAGGATTTGGGTCTTCTTGGACATCCGCACGGACACCAGCTCTGGCGGCAACTTGGACATGAAGGCCATGTCCGGGACGGGAGGGTTCTCTGCTCTGCCACATGGCCCATTGAATTCTGAGTTATGAAAATCTTGTAAGGAAATTGTGCCAAAGCTGCCAAACCGTTTGCTGGTGCTGCAGTTGGAGAACCTATGTCCCTTTGACATGACATCGCAAGGCTCAAGGCAAAAGGCACAGAGCACAAGGCACAGAGCACAAGGCAGCAGGCAGCAGGCACCAGGCAGCAGGCACAAGGCACAAGGCACAAGGCAGAAGGCGCAAATATGGTGGACGTCGCGTTGTTTTGCTGCATCTGGTCTGTCAGTTGGGCCGTCGTACTGTCCGATTTCGGATTTGTCAAGCACGCCAAGCGCGACACCTAAAACCAGCATCGTGCCAGTTGGTGAACGAGTTGGCGAAGATTGGATTGCTGGCCAAGGACATCACAAAGTGCACGGCGCTTCCTGTTTTCGCGCAAGACTTTGAGCCACCTCACCTCTAGCACCCGTAAGGAGGCTCACTCTTCAATCCATCCTGCTAGGAGCAGTTGGCTTTGACGCCTTGGTTCCCGAATCATGCGCTCATGCTATTGCAGCCGCCTGGCCTCATTCGTGCTTCAAAGTGTCCTGAAAGAAAGATTGCCTGGATACAACAAAGCAGGTAAAGCTGCTCGATAGGAAAGCATGGAGAGCTCTGCCAACCTACGGTACAGCAGTGCTCAGGTACGAGCTTCACAAGGATGCCAGGCACAAGCCAGAAGCGAATTCATTTCGGAATTCTTGACGAGCAGTTTCGAAGGCATGTATAAGATCTCACCTGCAGTCCTCAAGCCTAGCCGAGCCAGACGGCTCGGAAGCTGGAACTGATCAGGCAAGCAATCTCGCGCGAGAGCTACAAAGTACCTGGCGCTGGCCCGAGAGTGATGATTTGAGAGCAAAGCAAGTCGGACACACCAGCAATCCAGTGCACTTCTCTATTCACTTCAGACCTGTTTGGACAAGTCTCCGACCTATCGGTGCCAAACTATGCAAATGCTAGAGCTGCTATGAGCTGCTAAGAGCTGCTAACAGCTGCTAAGAGCTTCTGTAGTGCCTCCACGTTCAGCTCTGAGGATCGGCCGAGGTAAAGGAGCGCCGCCTTGGCAAAGAGGCAGTTTGCACAGAGCAGGACAAGTCATGGCTGCAAAGAAAGGGCTCCTGTGTGACGCGGCGGAGCATGAGATATACGATCGATGAGAGGATTCTTTTGTATTCGTGTCTCGTTCTCAGGGGCGGAGCAAGGAGAAGAGCCACCGGCCTCCCGCGGCAGTCTCCATGCCTGTGCGGGTCCCAGAATGAAGCCGCAGTTGCTCTGAGCGCTTCAGCACATGAAGCATATGACATCATATGCATCTTCATTAGGCATCTTTCAATACTGCAGCTCAGTTCAAGCATGTTCAAGCCCGTCGTTAAGCCAACGTGCACCTCGTTGCCCGAGCCAGTATGCTCCGGCTATTCAAGGTCCCGAGCTTCGGCGCGACGAAGAACGCGCTCGGGTGGGGTCAGAAGCAACACAAAGGGGGGAACATGATTGCTAAGGTTGCAGTTGTCACGTATTTGAAGCAAGAGCTGTGCGAAGTTTGGCGCGGTAGTTTGCATTTCCTGTCGAGCTTGACTCCAGCGTTCAACGTTCCCCGAGTTTTGGCTCAGAAGGTTTTTCGAGGACTAGCGGATGCCGTAGCGGAGTTAGCAGGCCAGGAGTTTCTGGACGGATCGATTCGATGGGATCCGCTGCCAGTGCCAGGTCAGGTTAGCCGCTGCAAGGTGTCACACCAGCATTGCTGGCCCTTACCGGTGCTTCCGTGGAATGCACTGAGCAAGCCAGGGCTGCATGCAGACTCGCCCTGTTTTTTGGACCATCGAGCCGGAGGCCCTACCAGATGCATGCGAAGGAGGCTGCATGCTGAGTTGGCGCTCGCGGGATTGCCAATCATGCAATCTGCCGCCACGGTGCACGACGCCGTGATGTCTACGTAGCACCCCTGAGCGCAGTCCAGTTCGAGGAGGAGATGGCCCCAGAGAATCCGGAAGAGATCGTAGTTGCCCATCCTGGTATGAAGAGGACTGTTTAGCATCTGATTTACAAGATGTTCGAGAGACGCACCCCAGCAAAGATGTGGGTCCGCTCTACGACACATACCTGTCGCAATTAATGCATGGCTTGGCAGTGCGAAGTTTAGTATGGCCCCGTACATCTTGCGGACCTGGCGCTAGTTCCGCGGAGGTTCCGAGGTTCCACTGTGCCTCACGCGAGAAGTTCCTCGAAACAGGAAATGGCAGGAATTAAGTGGTCTGAGGTAAGCTGCTAAGCTGCCAAGCTGCTAAGCGGGCCAGGTGTTGTCTGCCCAATTTGTCTTGGTCCTGCCGTCATGGCCGGTGACCATGGGCCTGGTTTCGCCGCTGGCGCTTGAAGTTGGCATCATGAGAGTACGAGATATGATCAATGGGTCCAGGGTTGTGATGTCTGAGAGTCTGAGATGTGCTGAGAGTGGCTTCATCTGACCTGTCGCAGGCCTGTGGGAGCGCCACCGAAGTCTCTTGCCAGCTCCTCTGGGGCGGCGGCGCTGGCCTCTGAAGTTGCACGCCAAGACATGCATTGCACCTAAAGCGGCCCTGAGAGTTTGACCTGCCCGGGCCCAGGCCCCACGAACTGTGGCTTCGAGCAGCAGCTGTAGTGGTGGAGGCCATTACGGTTTGAGCGACTCCTTGAGGTTTTGAATTCCTGGGCACAGGGCGCTCTGGGGTCTCTCGCCCCTGTGTTGGGGAGGGGATTAGAGGTGGGGTGCCTGCTTTGTGCTAGCCATACACCTACGGCCCGAGGCCTCGGCGGATTTGCTAGGCTGGTATTCGACCCGTATCCATACTTCAAGGGAACCCAAAGAAATCGTCCAGATGGAATCCCTTGAGCAATGAATGGAAGTTGAATGGATATGTGATGAGGTTTCTTTGTCAAGGTTGGGTATGTTCTTTATGTTTGGATCAGACACACTTGGCCCTCGTGAACATGGGTGCTCCCATGTCCCTTACCAGTACCCATTGTGGCAAGAAGTCCGCATCCCGAACTTGCCAGTATCACTTGCTGCCCACGATTCGGGTTGTTTTCTGCAGTGCGAGAGGTTGTTTGGAGAGGAAGGTTGATATTCCCCAAAAGGGACGGGCTTTCGACATTGACCCCAGTCCATGATGAGACGGACCGAAGTTGCAACCGAAGCTGCAAAAGATGGCTGTACATTCAGGCTACGTCGGCTGCAAGGTACGGGTCGCGCCCACCCCGCCACCCCTCGTCCCCCGTCCTCCGGGGGGTCAAGGAACTCTGCACAAACCATTCTAACGCACCGTGGAAGGTCGCGGGGGTATATGGATCTGTTTGGGGGATGTTGTTTGTCGAAGTGCACCGCCGGCTGCAAGTACAAACGCTTCCATTGGGAGCTTGAAGTTCCCCGCGTCCGAATGATGCAGAGCTGGTCGCTTGTGAGGATGCGGCTTCAACGAACTCAGCCCTGCCTACCTGCCGCAACACGATCATGCTCCCTGGCCGCAGCGTGATGACAGGGTGTCGCAAGTCTTAAGCAAGCCTGGGCAGACCATCACCGAAAGCTGTGTCTTGTGAATTCTTGTGACTTCTGATCCCTTTTGGTGAAGAGGGGCTTGTCATGCAAAACAAAGCACTGGCATTCTGTTCCTGTTGTGGCCTTGGACGTCCAGGCTCTGCAGCACCAGCCGCAGCAGCAAAGTTGGGAGGCCCAGACAGAGTGCAATGATTTCAAGATATTGGCCACGCCCGGCCCTTTAGAACTCAGTGGAATACGTTACAACCTCCACTGGATTCCGCCTCGTGTGCTCAGGTCAGCTCGGCAAAGGCGGATACATGGGGCACGGCGGCCCCGGCGGTCCCGGTGGCCCCGGCCTTCTTGTCAACTGACACGCTGTTGCAGACACACGGTCTGGGCACCTTGAGCCTCAGTCGTGCCCCTTTTCCAAGGTCGGGGGAGCCAATGGTCTCCACTGGAGGGAGCGCCACCTGGTCTCGGCCCATCGCTGCTCCAGGCGAAGATGCAGTTTGTTGAACTCGTTTCCGCACGCTTCAACAGCAAATCTGCTTCCGGCCTGATGTTTAGCCCAGAAATCTGGCAGACTAAGACGTCCGGCACAGTCCCCACTTGACCAGAGATGCCCCAATCCAAATGTGCCCAAACCTCCCATCGCTGAGCGGAATTCTGCAGGCCGGACGCTCAGGAGTGCAAAACTGGTTGGGAGCGGAGGACAGCTTCTGACTTTCCACGGTCAGTGGGAGAATCCGCGCAAGCTGGCTATTTTTGTGAAACGCACGAAAAGCCTTGGTGGTGAGCACCGCAGGACCAATCGCAGCAGGAGCTGCTGTCCTACTTGCAGGCTCAGTACCAAAAGGTTTGTTAGGGATTCGGTTGTAGACATCCACAGGCTCGGTTGCAGAAAGGAGTGAGAAGAATCTCGGAGTGTGCTTCGCTCCCTCTTTAAGCTCCCACACAAAGATTCGGAAAGCAGAGGCCCCTTTTCTGAGCATCCTCGAGGGCCATGGCCGATAACATGAGGTCCCGCGACTATTGGAGCCGTCCGACTCGTCACTTAGAATCGGTCGTGAGAGCTTTTCGAATCAGGCTTCGCATCTACAGAGCCCCTGGGAGGGGGAATGCCTGGAAAGTACATTAGCGCCCGGGAAGACATCAACGACGTTGGGATGATCCGGGGGAAGGAAATGTTCGTGTTCCGATGAGGCCTATCCTTTCTTGCCACTATCTAAGAAGGAGCTCAGCCTGCTAAGCGATCGCATGCGCAAGTCAATCTGATCTTCTCTTTGTTCGCATCTCGGCACTTCCTCTACAGATCGAACATGCGCTGGCATGTCTTGAAAGAAAGAAAGACTCGGTCGCAGTGAAGCAGAATACCAAGACTCCAGTTCCCAAGCTGAAGGTCAAGAATCCAGTTCCAAAGCAGATGGCCAAGACTACACCGACCAAGCATAGAACCCGAAGGTCACCTAGCAACATTTTTCGAACTCCATCAACAATGCTTCTTTTTGCAATCACATTGCTGAGAGCAATGACTGCCTTTGCGGATCGCGGTGACAAGAGTGATTGTTTTTTCAGTTTGGGTGCTGGTGCCCAATACTGTAGCTGTGGAAGAATCTCTTGCAAAGCCGTACTCCGCAAATTCCCAAGACCACCTACGACCAGAAGTTCTCTCACCAAACATTGGGAAGGCCCGGCAGCAAGCAGGCCTTCCGCCTGAAGCTCGGTTTCGGTGCCTAAGCCACGGGCCAGATGGGTCATGTTTGAAGTTGCGTATGTAGAGCCAGGACAAGACCCGTGCCTCTACTAGAGATCGCCATGAGGTTTGATGAGGTTTGTGGAGCTTTGTGATCCCAGCTGATCTCAGGTTTGGTGTTGGTGCATCTCAGCAAGCTGCCGCTTCACCCTCAGTTGAC